ACAGTTCTGTGAATGCACGAGGATCATCTAAAGTCTGCAAGCACAGTGGAGGTCACCAAAGGGTAAACTGAGGAAGAGAACAGGGAATTCATCTGCCTAAAGGCTTAGAGATGGCCAGGCAAGCTGACTTTTTCATCCAGAATTATCTTGTTCTTTAACTCTGCTAAATTCTGATATATAAACATGAATTTATATGCATGTATGTCATATGAGTATGTCATTTTAAAATAATATGTACATATGTAAGTTTTGTCTGGACACAGAAAGCTTCTTTGGAGGGCAGTAGGTTGACATTTCTGATTTCTCCATGGAGGGCAACCTTGCAGGCAGTGATCACTCTCAGGAGGGAGAGACGCCAGGCAGTGTAGGCCTTTCCCTGCCAGCACCTGGTAATATTCTTGGAGGGGGGGAGGGGACGAAATCAAATCATGTGCCCACTTTTCTTTTCTTTTTTTTGAGACGGAGTCTTGCTCTGTCACCCAGGCTTGAGTGCAGTGTGGCACGATCTCCAGTCACTGCAACCTCCACCTCCCAGGTTCAAGCAATTCTCCTGTCTCAGCCTCCTGAGTAGCTGGGACTACAGGTGTACACCACCACACTTAGCTAATTTTTTGTATTTTTAGTAGAGATGGGGTTTCACCATCTCTGGTCTCAAACTCCTGACCTCATGATCTGCCCACCTCAGCCTCCCAAACTGCTGGGATTACAGGTGTGAGCCACTGCGCTCGGCCCATGTGCCCACTTTTCTTAATATCCTCTTACATGAAGTCATTCATCATGAAAAGTGGACTGGAAAAGGAAACACTAGAAAATATTAGGGATGGTGACCAAGTAAGGATTTGTATCTTCCCAGGACCAGCACAAAGTTCCATGAGTGTCCACACCGCCAGCTGTCTCCCTCCCACACAGAAAGGGCTGCCCTGGGGCCTGCTCACTGTGTTACTGCCCTTCTAGTACCACCCCAATTTTCAAAGAACCTCTTCCCCAGAGTCTGTATAGGAGGGAGGGTGGAAATACCCAAGCTCTAGAACTCTAGCGTGTAAGAAGCCGAGGCCCTGTTTTCTACACAGCACATGGTATCACATAACACAAACCTTCCAGTCTTGAGTTTAAAGGGAAAGGAGGAGTCCAACCTGTTGCTTCCACAGTCTGCTTCCAAGTTGTCAACCTGCCAGTGAGGTCTTCCGACCCATCGGTAAAGAAGCATTGCACTAAGACTTGGGACTCTCCCCAGATCCAGCGAGGGGCAGCGCACAACAGCTCGCCAATCCGCTTCCGCCTCCTGCTCCAGCCCAGCAGCATCTGTCATCTCTTTTCCCAACTCACCGAACTCAGATGGCCTGGGGGCAGGGTCACTCTTCTGGGGGAGGGCCGTTTAGTTGGTTTTTGGCTTTTGTTTCTCCATCCAGGGCTGGACCCGGTTCTCTCTTGAACACTTGTTGGGATGCAGCAAGAGCATCTCTGGATTTGGGGCTATAGGGCTGTGGTTCACCTGCGGGAGTCAGTGCGGCCTGGACCTTCCACCCTGCACCCTCACTCACCCTCCTTCATTACACCTGGAGGATGCCCGAGACAAGTTGCCTTCAAGATGAGGAAAGTGTTTCACTGTTTATTTCCTCCATGGTGTAGCAGGTGAGCATGTTTAGGACAGATAACCACTGAGTTTACCCAGGTAAATTCGGGCCTAATACAAGAATGTATTGGTTCCAGTGTTGGTTAACCAATGCAGTTAATACACAATGCTTCTATTTTGTTTCTTTTTCTAATCTTATTTAGAAGTTTCAAACAAAAAGACAGTCTGCTGATCAGTAAACATGGAGCTGTCCTCTCCCACTCCACTGGCTCCATTTCCAGGGCTGCGTGCCAGCCTCGGAGCAGAGTGTGCATCCCTGGATCCAGTTTGAACTGGGGAGAAGAGTTAGGAAGAGGCTGCACCTGTGACCCCAAACTCTTAACTGTGGAGAGAAACCCAAATTCGGCTGCTTCAAAAGGAAATCAGCCCCATCAGGTGGGGCCAGAGGAGGGTAGATGGCAGAGACCAGGTCGGCAGATGAAAACCTCACCTCAGAGTGAATGGAAGCCAGGACACGGACTCGTGGAGGTGGGCGCTTCACAGGAGCCCTTTCCCCGGCGGTGCTAGGGAGGCCTCTGCCTGGCCATAATCCCTCCCGCCTCTTGCCACACCTCACTGGTGTGCTCCCCCACCCAACTACAGTAGGCATCTGGCTTTTCCCACCAACCCGTCTCCCTTTTTGGTGTCCAGACCCACAGTCTCCTGGCAGAGCACTCCTCCTCCCACCCTCACCTTAAGTGAGATTTGGAAGAGCTAGACCACATCCCTCTGGTCATGAATATTGGTTCAGGAATGGACATGTGACCTGTTGAAGCCTGTGAGAGCCAGGGCCCCCACACTTCTGTTAAAACTCTTGGGAGAGACATTCTCTCTTCTCTGAACTTTGCAGTATATAGAAATGAGCTTACTGATGCAACAATATAAATGGCATTGAGATGGGTGTCCAGAGCTGCTGGGGTCAGGGGAGGGAGGTCAGCCTGGCAAAAGCCACCCTGTGGAGCATGAAAATGAAAGAGACCTTGAGAAAGGCCAAAGGTATCCAGGCCTGTGGTGACAACATTTGAGCTGCTGGGTCAAACCTCACCTGAAGTCATGTTTCTACTAGTTTTTTTTTTTTTTTTTTTTTTTCTACTGTATGGGCCACCTTTATACTGTTTAAACCAGGCATGGTTGCTAACATCTATAATCCCAGCAACTCAGGAGGCAGAAGTGGAAAGATCGCTGAGGGCTGGAATTCAAGACCAGCCTGGGCAACCTAAGAAGACCTTGTCTCTAAAAAAGAATTAACTAAAAATAAATAAATAAATAAATTGTTTAAACCAGTTTCACTTGAGATTTTGGTTACTTGCAACATAAATAATCCAAACTTTGTTCTAACCAACAGGGTTCTCATGTCACCAGGGGCTGCAATCAGTCACGGCCAGAGAAAAGCCAGTCCTTGCATGGTGTGCAGTGGCTTTAGCTGCCAGTCAGCTAGAAAGGAAGAAAAGCAGTCTGCAGCCCTCTGCAACAGGTTCAAAATGACAGAGTCTGTTGAGGTCTGTGTGCAGAGCATCCTGCAGTTCAGTCTGTCCTCCAGAGCGCACAACCTCACACGCAACTCCATGGACTGAGGGTCTTAATAGGAGAAGGAATAAGCTCAGACTCCTCGGGTGGGATGAGGCACTTCCTACAAGAAACAGGATTTTAACTGGGACAGGCAGGATAGGTGAATGTGGATGGAGAGTGGGAAGGGACATTCTAAGCTGAGAAAACAGCTGAAGCCCAGCCTTGGGGGCAGGAGAGCTCAGGTCCTGCTCAGGGAATGGAGAGTGGCCCATGGGGAGCACCCAGAATGAGGGGGAGGTGAGCCTGGTTAGGTAACCTGGCGGGCTTCAAAGGCCCAGCTGAGGCAAGTCTGGCTTTTCCTTTCTGGGCGGTGGCAGGCTTCACAGGTGTGAGCAGAGCTGCGCTGTGGAAAGGTGCAGGGTGGTGGTGCCTAGGCTGCCGAGTTAGGGGGTCGGTGACAAGGACCCACAGGGGCAGGGAGGGCAGAAGGGGAGGCGCACAGGAGGATCGCCACAGCCACTGCTGTAAGCAAGGAAGGAGCGCAGGGTGTCTGGAAGCCAGTCAGTGCAGGAGGGGCCTGGCAGGATAGGACAGTGGGGTGCAGGAGGGGCCTGGCAGGAGAGGACAGTGGGAGAGAAAGCGTCTCTCAGAGGCAGGGAGCCACACTCCACCCAAGACCACGGCACCCCTCCACGTCACCGCTGACTGCCAGCAGCATGCCCAGGCAGTTCAGATGTGACTCATTCCTGACCCAGTTCTCGAGGGCGGGCTGAGCTGCTGTCCTGCTATGGGCTGTGGCTGCCGGGGGTGCCTCCCTGAGTCGCTTCAGAGGCTCCGGGGCTGCTGGAAGACACACCCACAAACACACACCCCAGCCTGCATTGCTACCCAGAGTTTAGAGGGAGGTGGGTGAGACCCCCCAGAATTAGAACCTGCCTTCACTCTAGAATCAGCCATGGCATGCAGTCCACAGCTGCTCAGGGAGGAAGGGATAGGCGCCCACCAGCTCCCTCTACACCCCTGCCTCCAAGCCCTGGGTCAACACCATGTTTCTAATTTTCGAGGAGACTCCACAGCTCTTGCAGTTCTAGGTCGCCCCTTCCTACGGGGAGCCTACCCTTCAGCCCCAGACTAGGCTGGCTGCGCCTCTGGCAGGGCCTGGAAAGCCAAGCCCAGGGATCATGAGGCCCTCAGTCTATGGGCTATTCCCTGGGGGTGAATGAAAGGACCATGGCCCAGGATGCTCCGTCATCCCCTCGCCCTGGTGCTCACAGAGAGACCCCACAGGTGTGCAGAGGGCAGTTTGATTGGGAAGTGCGACCACAGGCTTCCCACAGAGGCTCTGCCCTTTGGTGCCTCCTACACAGACTGCAGCATCCCCACAGACCTCCAACCCAGGGTAACAGGGCCACCCCATGGGCCTCTGCGTATTGGGAGCCAGGACCCCCACCTGGAGCTGGGGACATTGCTTGTGGGGAAGGGAGGGTATGAAGGAAGAGCTCCTCCAGCAATGGCCCTGGAGCATTCTCGAGCCACCCCCTCCCAGTCTGGGCCACGCCCTGTGGCAGGTGGGAGGACAATGCCGCCTGTGTGCGGTCACCCCAGCACACACTGGCTGGAGGGGAGGGCTGTGGCCGGCCCGGCTCCAGCCTCGGCCTCTTCTGATGTCCCTTTCCCTCCAAGCACAGCCCCTGCTATCTGCCCTCTCCATCTGTCCAGCAGGGCTGCCTCCACGGGACCCAGGCATCACTAAGGTAAGCAGTTTCCTCTCTTCCTTCCACCTGCCCCAGTCACTGTGGAGGAGGGACCTGGCAGCAGGGGCTCCAAGAAGAAGAATCTGGAAGGTGGGGTGGGGTGGGGCAAAGGGGACCTGGGCCATTCGACCAGGAGCACTGGACCTTACCTGGCTGGACTCCAAGCTGCAACCCCCATGAAATGTGAGGACAGTCTGTCAAGGCAGGACCCAGGTCCCTGGCAGAGGGGCCATCTCCATTCACACATCCCCTAACCTGTATGCCCTCTGGCTTTAGGGAGGCATCCATCAGCTCCTCATCCCCAAAGGCTTGCAGGCCTGATGGCTGGTCAGCCCCACAGTCCCCGGGAGCTCCTCCGGGCTGCAGGGCGCCCCAGCAGGAGGCCCAGCACAGAGCTCCAGGCCCCGCCCAGTCCAGCTGCCACCGTGGACTCTCAGTACGAGATGGGCCACGTTCGCAAGCTGCAGGCCCGGCACATGAAGATGCAGGAGAAGACTTTCACCAAGTGGATCAACAATGTCTTCCAGTGCGGCCAGGCAAGTGTAGCCAGCTGTGCCCCACAGCCCACCCGTGCCATGCCCCCAGCTCTGGCCAGTGCGCCTCGGGGGTGAGCTGTGGGGTCATCTGCCTGAGGCTGAGCTGAGGCCAGAGCTCCTTCTTCCCAGGCAGCTGCTCTGAGTCACACCTCTCGGGTCCCAGGATGGGAGGACAGGTGAGGCTGGACTGACCCCATACCTTCCCCCATCCCCTCCCCAGGTGGGCATCAAGATCCGGAACCTGTACACAGAGCTGGCCGACGGAACCCACCTGCTGCGGCTGCTGGAGCTCATCTCCGGGGAGGCCCTGCCACCCCCCAGCCGGGGCCGCATGCGCGTGCACTTCCTGGAGAACAGCAGCCGAGCTCTGGCCTTCCTCAGGGCCAAGGTGGGCCCCAGGGAAAGGGGTTTGGGATGGTGCCAGGGCAGGCAGCTAGGGACAGGCTGGACTACTGGGTCACCTTTCCTGGGCCAGGCCACAGGGCAGAGCAGAGGAGCTGGGGCCTGAGTACTGGAGGAGCCGCTGGGACACAGAGGAGCAGAAGCCACGCCCTCCTCGCACAGCACCCCTGACTTTGAGAGCACCCAGCTGGCCAAGGCAGGAGCAATCCATGTCCCTACTGGGATGGAAAATGTCATTGTCTGTCATCAGAGAGACTTGCCGGATTCTAGGCTGAAAGAATCTTAGTGTTCTCTTAAGCTTCTCATTTCACAAATGAGAAAACAGAGGCCCTAAATTATTTGCCAGGCAAGATTGATGGCTAACCAGCCAGCAGAGCCCAGATGTGGGGCCATGGGGGGCTGGCATCCAGTAGGAAACAAAGGGAGAAGACCCGGACACTAAGCCGGCAGTGGGGAGAGGAGTAGGGCCTGTCTTGGAGGAGCAGGGAAGAGGCCTCAGCAAATGGGGGCAGCCAGAGTTACCTGAAAGAAAGGGACGGGCCAAGGAGATAGTCGCTAAAAGGAGGCTGGAGCTCCAGGGGCAGAGGGACCCTCCTGGCCAGGGTGAGGGGCCTGTGCAGGGGTGGGGTGAGGCAAAGAAATCATTTAGGTTGGGAACCGGGAACTGGGAAGACCAAGGACTCCTGGAGGTGGCTATCCCTGGAGACTCTGAAGTCACTGAGTTGGGCCTGGCTGGACAGAGCCTGACTGTGCGTGCCCATCACTGTGTCCTGGAGTGGAGCTTATATGCAGCCTCCTGGAGTACTGGTGTGTGGGAGGAAAGCCAGGGAGGGAAGAAACCCCACAAAGGGAAGGGGAGCCACTGCGGTCCTGAGCAGCTGCAAGAGCAGAATACTGCCAGCCGCAAAATCCCGGAGCCTAGTTGATCCAGGGACAATGATCCTGTGAGCCAGTCCTCTCCCCGACAGGAACCTGGGTGCGGTGTGAGCCCCATAGCCTTTGTCACTGATACCTGTGAGGGAGAGAGACATCCTTGTCTCCATACACATAGGAGACAACTGTGTATGGAGGACAAGGGAGTTGCCCCAAACACACAGGGAATATATGGCAGAATGAGGGATGCATTCGCTATGGAGACGCTACCATGCTACCGTGCCCTGGGTATTCTATGCAGGCTCGGGGCTACAATCAGCAAAGCACAGACGGCGCCCTCAAGGCCCCTGGCTTCAATGGGAGACAGATTCATTGAACCCAGGTCTGCCGTCTGCTGGTAAATGTTTAACAAATGATTCTCTGGGGGATGTAAAAGCTCCAGTGTGCAGTATTCGCTGATCCTATGGTGTTAATACCCCGTCGTGGTGACTTCAAGCCACCAGCCTGACATCGCTAAGCAGGAAGTCAGGAGGATGGGCTCTCAGGAGCTGGGAGGAGCAAACAGCCCACTCACCAGAGGCTCCAACTCTAAGCCGATGTGATTGACATGCCAGGTGGAATCCACCCCAGGAGCACCAAAGAGCAGGATCCTTTAGAGAGCAGCTGGATATACCAAAGCTTACCAAGGGGAACACCAAGAGAGGCAGCCCCTCCCACAGGGCCAGCAGTGGCCAGCTGAAGCCAGCTGCTCCAGGTCTTTTCTTTCTCCATTTAGTACTTGCTGATTGAGTCCCTGCTGTGTGCCACTCTCCTAGGATACATCAGAAAACAAAGCCAAGATCCCCACTGGAGCAGGCCAAGGGAATGGAGAGTGTGTATTTGAGTGGGAGAAATAGTCCTTAAGTGTCTATGTTAAATACAGTAGTCAGGCTAGGCAACATCTGAGTGAAGGCTTAAAGGCAGAGAAGTGAATAGCCGTGCAGATACCTGGGAATCCTTTCAGACAGCAGGGATGGCTGTGCAAAGGCCTGAAGTCCTGTGCTTACAATCTCACAGAACCACAAGAATCCGATGGGCCTCGGAGCTGTGTGATTCCACAGGGTGGAAGATGGAGCCAGAGGGGCCTGGGGCTGGGGCCCATCCCACAGCCAGACCCTGCAGGGCTTCTCCTCTTGACTCACCCACCCTCCCTGTCCAAGCGGCAAGATGTAGGGCAGAGGAGTCTCAACTTTAGTACACTTACGAGCCACTGAGGTGTCGTTCAAATGCAAATCCTGGACTCTGGTCCAAGTGGGTCTGACTGGGTGGAGCTTGGGAATCTGGATTTATAGCTGGCCCTGTTGGAGCTGGAACAGATGAAGAGGGCTGAGATATGAATGTGAGCCCAGGGACCCGGCCACCCGCTGAAGGCTAGGTCACCCCGGGAAATGGAGGCGGACAGTTGCTATTGTCTGTTTCGCTCACACATTGACTGTTAGAACCCCTCATTCCCAGACCCTGTAGCTGAACCACTGACCTTGGCTGGGGTCCACCTGTAGCCCACACACGGGGAGTCCTTCTGTTCCAGGGGCTCAGCCCAGTTCACCAGGCTGGGGCTTCGTCCAGGTGGGCTTGGGGCCATGGCTCCAAGCAGGCAGGAAGCCTTTGCTTTCCTGGACTTATCCCCTGCCTGCTTCTCCCTGGGGGACCTCCCGGCTGGGGCAGGATAGATTCCAGGACCCCCCCCATCCCACAGCCAGCCCCCAGACATTGCTGACTGAGTCCTCTCTGGACACAGGCTTCATGGCTTAGCCCAGCCAATGTGCCCACAGGTGCCAATACCACTTATCGGGCCAGAGAACATCGTGGACGGAGACCAGACACTCATCCTGGGACTCATCTGGGTCATCATTCTGCGTTTCCAGATCTCCCACATCTCCTTGGACAGGGTATGGCTCAGTCTCCCCAACCAGTGACCCAGCCCAGCCCTGGCCTCACCTCAGACCCCTGGGGACCGAGTCATTGCACGAAACTTTTACGATCCCCATAGGAGATCTTGGAAACCACAAAGTCAATATTTACTCTTTATGAGCAAAGAACCCAGGATGCCAGAGATATTGTAACATTGAAATATGCTAAAGTGAGGGCCAGAGCCACGGGCTTCAAACTGGGCCTGGGCAGATGATTCACGAGGGAGGGTTCGGGGTCACTGTCTGGCACCCACTTTCACTCCTGTGCACTGCTCCCCAACATGGCACTGAGGGTCTTTAACTTCCATCACACCACAATGTACTGCTGGGGTAAATGAAAGGTATGGAGGGACGCCCAGCTCTGGGGATTCACAAAGAGCCTGGTGCCCTGCAGAGCACACAGTATTCCCTTCATGGTCCCCAGCTTCCTCCATTCTGCCTCTTCCCCCCAACACTGGGTCAGAAAGACTATACAGTCTTTGTGGGACGTGCCTGTAGTCCCAGCTCTCAGGAGGCTGAGGTGGGAGGATATCCTGAGCCCAGGGTGTGGTGAGCTGTGATCGCACCACTGCACTCCAGCATGGGTTACAGAGTGAGACCTGGCCTCAAAGAAAAAAAAAAGCCCTTAAACTTACTCTTTTTCATAGTTTCATGATTTCCAAAACACTACCTAAAACTCAATTCTAGTAGGTAAGGAAAGCCAACCTGGAGAATGAAACTCCCATAAAAAGAAGCCACAGATCTGGCACAAGTCCAGGACAGCCTCAAAACACGGGGCCTGAGTCCCAGGAGAGCAGGGGTCTTGTGTGTCAGCATTCCCAGGGCTGAGTGTCTATTTGAAGGCTGAAGAAGTGGATGAATTTCTAACCGACCTCAAGCCCTTTCAGGAAGCTATACTCACCTCCCCGGGCCCCTGGGCCAGTTCTGGGTACCCCCTGCAGCCCAGGCCTTTGGGAGCAGCAGGGCACATTCTCCCCTGACCAGCACCACCTCTGCCTGCCTGCAGTCCCCTCTGGCCCTGCTCCCTGCTGACTCAGACATGTTTGGGCTCAGGCTAGCCTTGCTCCCTCACAAGCCATCCCAACTTCTTTCCCAGTTCCATCTGCAGCCTGGCCCCACCATGCAGGGTACTGGGGCCTGAGCTTGCTGGGGCAGAGCCCAGCTCCAAGGCCCCCTCATCCCTGCCTGGTACCCACACATCCTTCCTACCCAAGCTCTGGGGCCCAGAAGCCAGGGGAAGTGCAGCCTGCTGGGCCTTGATGTTTTGAGTTTATAACAGGAAGAGGCCGGGCCTGGGGGCACACACCTTTCATCCCAGCACTTTGGGAGGCCAAGGCAGATGGATCACTCTAGGTCAGTAGTTTGAGAACAGCCTGGCCAACATGGTGAAACCCTATCTCTACTAAAATACAAAAAATTAGCCTGGGAACGGCATATGCCTGTAATCCCAGTTTCTTGGGAGGCTGAGGCAGGAAAATTGCTTGAACCTGGAAGACAGGGGTTGCAGTGAACCAAGAGATCGTGCCGCTGCACTCCAGCCTGGGGGACAAAGCAATCCTCCATCTCAAAACCAAACAAAAACAAACAAACAAAACCCAGGACATGGTGACGAAGGGGAGTGCACCGGAGAGAATCAGGGGAGAGGGAGGAAATGAGAGGAAAAGTGGGAGAGGAAAAAGGAAAGATGGGGACATGGGGGTATGAGGGGGCAAGGGAGGGAACAGATTCAGGGACAGTACCACTGAGGGAAGGGCGGGCACTGGGGGAAAGATGAGGGAAAGGAGGCTGAGAAGGGGAACTGGGAGGGAGAGAGATGGGGAGAGGCAGGGGAAGCCGAGAGTGGCAGCATGGGGGAAATATGGTGGGAAGGGGAGGGGCCAAGAGCAGCCTGTGGCACCCTGTGAGGCCCTGAGCATGGCTGGCAGCTGGGTACTGTCAGATGCTCCTGGGTGCTAGCCCCTCCCCTTGCCATCTGGGGGGGCCTGGGCAGTCTCTAAACCTCCCTTGCTGCACCTGGTTTGCTGCAGTGCCAACTTCACAGGGTGGGGAGGGCTGAGGGCCATAGTGCCTGGACCGAGGGCCTGGCTCGAAGAAAGCCTGCAGTGATAGGACCCAGTCTCATGAAGCCCAGCCTCAATCCCACGAGCCCGAGGTCAGTTAGCACAGAGCCTGGCCTGTCAGAAAGGCTCAGAAACGGGAGGCGTTGCTGTGTGGTCACCTGTGGTGATGCAAAGCCAGAGGCTTCGCAGTGACAGCTTTCCTTTGCTCTGCTTCTTTGGAAGGCCAGTCGCTCTCACCCCCAATCCCTGCCCACTGTGGATGAAATTGGGTAAAATCAGATGCTCTGAAGAGAGGGGAGTCACACCAGCCCAGGGCCAGGGAGGAGCAGGGTCCACTGTGGCCAGCCTGCCTCTCCCACAGCCTGCAGTCTCTCTGCCACCCCACCCCATCTCTGCATGGTCACCCCACTGCCCTGTCCCGCCAGGAGGAGTTTGGGGCCAGCGCAGCCCTACTGTCTACCAAGGAAGCCCTGCTGGTCTGGTGCCAGCGGAAGACGGCCAGCTACACCAACGTGAACATTACTGATTTCTCCCGAAGCTGGAGCGATGGGCTGGGCTTCAATGCCCTCATCCATGCCCACAGGTGTGACCCCGCCCTTGTCAGGAGGCCTCTGCCCACTGAACCCATGGCTCCCGGGTTGGTCCTCAGTCTGCCCATTCTCCCACATCTTTGGGCTTGAAGGAGGAGGGAAAGTGGACACAGATGGAGAGAGGGCCGATGTCTGAGTCCCTGCTCTCCATCAGCCCCTTTCCCTTCCCTAGACAATGCCATGAGACTGGCCAAGATTGCCTTTGACCCCAGCCTTTTCCACTTTCTGCGCCCCTCAATTCTATTCATGCTCTTCACTCTGGCAGCATCTGCCCTTTGGAGGTTCCCCCAGGCCCCTCCCCCGGCCTGGTCCCTGTACCCAATGAACCCTCCTCTTTCTCTATCAGAGTCCTACTCCTTCAGCAGGGCCTCAGTTAACTGTGGGAAAACAAATTCACAAGACGGTGTGAATGGCCAGTAGCAGCATGAGTGCATTTAAGAACCTACCTGAAGGAAAGCACGTGGTTCCTGCTGGTGAGGCGCCCTTCCCGCTCTCTGTCCAGGCCAGACCTTTTGGACTATGGTTCCCTGCGTCCAGATCGCCCACTGCACAACCTCGCCTTTGCCTTCCTGGTGGCTGAGCAGGAGCTGGGCATCGCTCAGCTGCTGGACCCCGAGGACGTAGCAGCCGCACAGCCAGATGAGCGCTCCATCATGACATACGTCTCCCTCTACTACCACTACTGCTCCCGCCTGCATCAGGGGCAGACTGTCCAGAGGAGACTCGCTAAGGTGGGGGAGAAAGGAGGGGTGGGTGAGCAAGGGCTCCAGAGGCAGACAGGCCTAAGTGCGAAGCCTGCCCTGCCACCTACTAGCTGTGTGGCCTTGGCCAAGTCACCCAACTTCACTGTGCACCCTCTGTCACATGGAGATGATGCCTTGATAACAGAAGGCCATGTGAGTGCTCCAGGGAGCACTGGTAATGTGCCCAGCACGGTTCCCAGCAAGGGAAGCCAGGGGAAGAATGGCCCCTCCTGGGCCTCTCCCTTTTCCCCGACTCTCAGGTTTTTAAGCTTCTAATGAGATTAAAAGGCTTAGAGAGCCAGGATTCTGCAAGGACAGGCACAGAAGAGGCTCTGCCGGCAGGGGCTACACAGAGTTCATGTTTTTGGGGGGCTTTCTTACTCTCTGGACACGATGGCGGAGGCTGAGGCCTGGAAGTGCTCTTCTCAGGGTGGGTATCTCAGTTGGGGTATGGGTGGGGATGGCACAGGCCAGGGGCTCTGAGCTGCTTTATAGGGTGGGGGCTCAGTGAAGGGAAAGGAGGCCTAGAAAAAGAACAGCAGCCTGAAGGGCCTCCACCCCCACCAGTGAGGCCAAATGGGTAAAACAAGAGGAGGAAGGCAGGATAGCCTCACCCACAGTCCTGGAAAGGGGCCCCAAGCTCCTGGGTCTGAGTGTGCAACGCAAGCAAACCCAGGTCTCTGGGGTGGGGTACCACCATTTCAAAGCATCTTTGGCTCAGAGAAGTAGCTACAGCCCACCTGGGGAACTCGGGCTGGCACTCAGTGCCCATTCCAGGGCCTGCCCCAAGAAGCACCCAGACCCCTTCCTACGCCCTCCACCAGATCCTGCTTCAGCTCCAGGAGACAGAGATACTGCAGACCCAGTACGAGCAGCTGGTGACCGACCTGCTACGCTGGATTGCAGAGAAGCAGGCGCAGCTGGAGGCACGGGATTTCCCAAACTCGCTGCCGGCCATGCGGCAGCTACTGGCAGCATTTGCCTCCTTCCGCACCCAGGAGAAGCCACCTCGGCTGCAGCAGCGAGGGGCTGCAGAGGCGCTATTCTTCCGGCTACAGACGGCGCTCCAAGCCCAGAACCGTAGGCCCTTCTTGCCTCACCAGGGCCTGGACCTTGTAGAGCTGTCCCAGTGCTGGGCAGGGCTGGAGTGGGCAGAGGCTGCACGGAGCCAGGCCCTACAGCACAGGCTACTGCAGCTGGAGCGGCTAGAAACCCTGGCCCGGCGCTTCCAGCGCAAAGCGGCCCTCCGGGAGAGTTTCCTTAAGGATGCAGAGCAGGTGCTGGACCAGGCCGGAGCCCCGCCAGCCAGCCTGGCTGCAGTGGAGGCAGCTGTCCAGAGGCTGGGCATGCTGGAGGCTGGCATCCTGCCCCAGGAGGGGCGCTTCCAGGCCCTGGCTGAGATCGCAGACATCCTCCAGCAGGAGCAGTACCACAGCTGGGCAGATGTGGCCCACAGGTGAGCCCCGAGCACATGAACTCTCCTCATAACCGGTTGAGGCTCTCCTACCATACCCCCATCCTTCCATGTGGAAGGATGCCCATTTTTTGCCACAGAGGAAAGGGGTGATTTATGGTTTCAGGGCTCCCCCTACAAAGACCTGTCTCCCAGCAATGCTTGAAAGTCCACCATCAGTAATTCATCCTTATTGGTAAAGCACTTTCTAGGTAGCCTGATTCATTCACTAAGTAAGAATTTCAGTGTCTACTATGTCCCACGCACTGTGCTAGGTGCTAGAGATTTAGCAGAGAAGAGGACAAACAGAAATTCCTTCCCTCATGAACTTACACACTACTAAGGAAAACAGACAAATAAGAAAAAATGCATAGCATGTGGTAATTTAAAAAAATAATAAAGGAGAGGCTGGGCACAGTGGCTCACACCTGTAATGCCAGTATGCTGGGATGCCGAGGCAGGCGGATCACCTGAGATCAGGAGTTCAAGACCAGCCTGGCCAACATGGTAAAACCCCGTTTCTACCAAAAAAATACAAAAATTAGCCAGGCATGGTGGCACACACCTGTAGTACCAGCTACTCGGGAGGCTGAGGCAGGAGAATCGCTTGAACTCAGGAGGCAGAGGCTAAGTGAGCCAAGATGGTGCCACTGCACTCCAGCCTGGGAACAGAGTGAGACTCCGTCTCAATAATAGTAATAAAGGAGGAGAGAGGGATATGAGGTGCTAAGGTCGAGTGGCTAGAGGGGATTCACTGGGAAGTTGACTTCTACATAAAGAGCAGAAAGAAGTGAGGAGCTGGCCATGCAGACATGGAAGACAGCATATTCTAGGCAGAAGAAACGGCAAATGCAGCATCCTTTTAGGTGAGCCACATGCCTGGCAGGTTTGAAAACAACCCAGAGGCCAGTGTTGGCCAAAGTGAACAAGTGGCAGGAGCTGAGGTCAGGGGGGACAGGGGTGAGGGGTGGGCATGGAGGTCAAGCCGGCCCCTGGAGGGTACAGTAAAGATTTGGCTTTTGCTCAGAGAAAGATGGGAAATCAGCAAAGGGCTGGAACAGAGGAGTAATACAATCTTTCATTTTGTGATGCTCACTCACCTGGATGTCATGTTGGGAATAGATCCAAGGGGCAAAGGCAGAAGCAGAGAGACCAGTGACAAAGCTATTGCAGTAATCCAGGATGGAGCAGCAGTGGTGATGAGTGGTGGGGTTCTGGATAGATTTTGCTGTAGTGCCAAGTAGAATTTGCAGACAGATCAGACATGTCATATGAGAAAGTAAGTTATCGAGATTTCATGCGGGGCACGGTGACTCCCACCTGAAATCCCAGCACTTTGGGAGACTAAGGCAGGCGGATCACTTGAGGTCAGGTGTTCAAAACCAGCCTGGACGACATGGTGAAACCCCCATGTCTACTAAAAATACAAAACTTAGCCAGGCATGGTAGCCCGTGCCTGTAATCCCAGCTACTCAGGTGGCTGAGGAAGGAGAATCACTTAAACACGGGAGGCAGAGGTTGCAGTGAGCCAAGACCACACCACTGCACTCCATCCTGGGTGACAGAGCAGATATTGTTTCAAAAAAAAAAAAAAAAAATTCAGTCTGGACACCTAGAAGGATGGAGTTTTTATCAGCTGAGATGGGGACTGCATGCAAGGTCGGGTGCCCCAAAGGCCTAATCCTTCCAGGCCCTCCTTTTGGCTTCTCTGCCTATGTCCAAAGGTAGGACACCCTGCCCCTATCGCCCCCGATCAGGATGCTCTCAGAGTCCACAGACCCTGCCCCAGCCAGAGGTCAGACTCCTCCAGAAAGCCAAGCCCCAACACAGACCAGGAATCCTGAAGTAGCTTCCCTGCCCCAACCCAGAGGAGATCTCCCTTATTGTCACGTCCTCCAGGCAGGAGGAAGTTACCCTGCGCTGGCAGAGGCTCCTCCAGTGTCTACAGGGACAGAGGAAGCAGGTGGCAGATATGAAGGCTGTGCTGAGCCTGCTCCAGGAGGTGGAGGCTGCCTTCAAACAGCTGGAGGAGCTGCAGGTGGGCACTGGACCAGCAGGCCCTTGGGAAACACAACAGGGTAGAGGACTTCCCCGTGCTGGTGCTCAGAGGGACCCAGCACCCTGGGAATACTACAGTGACCACTCATCTCTGACCAGGAGCTGGCCAGCTCCACCACCTGTGGGCAGCAGCTGGCAGAGGTGGTAGAGCTGCTGCAGAGGCATGACCTGCTGGAGGCCCAAGTCTCAGCCCACGGAGCCCACGTGACCCATCTTGCCCAGGAGGCAGCAGAGCTGGACTCCCTGCTGGGTACTAGTGTGGAGGTGCTGCAAGCCAAGGCCAGGACACTGGCTCAGCTCCACCAGAGCCTGGTGGCTCTTGTCAAGGCCCGGTAAGATCCCGTCCCAACTCTCCCACCTTTTCCAGAACTTTTCTATAACCCATATTATCTCCTGCCTAGGTTAAAATACTGTGGCCCTGGCGGTTTTCTCCACACTGACCCTACTCCAAGGCCTCTGTCTCACCTGTTGAGTCATCCAGGGAAAGGAAAACTCCTGCCTAAGGGGAGTGTCTGACCCTGGAGGGGAACACACTGCCCATTCCCCACCACTCCTCATGTTCTTTGGTGGCCCCTACTGTCCCTCAGGCGAGCCCTGCTGGAGCAGACCCTGCAGCGGGCAGAGTTCCTGCGCAACTGTGAGGAGGAGGAAGCCTGGCTGAAGGAGTGCAGACAGCGGGTGGGGAATGCGGCCCTGGGCCGGGATCTCCACCAGATCGCAGGCGCCCTGCAAAAACACAAGGTGGCCGCTCCCCGCGCACCTCCACCGGTCGCCGGCGCCTCACCCGTCCCTCTTTCTCTCGGCCCCCGGCCCCTCCCCTATTTTCCCTTCACTGAGCACCCCCCCCCCGGCCCCGCTCTGCCCCCACTAGGCCCTGGAAGCTGAGGTCCACCGCCACCAGGCCGTGTGCGTAGATCTCGTGCGGAGGGGACGCGACCTCAGCACCCGAGGGCCCGCGACGCAGCCGGATCCCGGGGAACGCGCAGAGGCCGTGCAGTGCTCTTGGCAGCTGCTCAGGACCTGCGTGGCGGAGGAGGGCGCACAGCTGCAGACAGCCCTGCTGGTCCTGCAGGTAGCGGGGTGGGGTGGTGTGGGGCCTGGGCCCAGCGGGGCGGGTTGGGGGTGCCAGCATCTGCCCGAGCTCAGCTGCTCCCCTGCATCCACACACCTCCCCGACCTCCTCCCGCAGTACTTCGCGGACGCGGCGGACGCGGCTTCCTGGCTGAGCGAGCAGCGATCCTCGCTGGAGAGCGCGTCCTGCGGCCAGAACCAGACCGCAGCCGAGGCCCTGCTGCGGCGCCATATGCGGCAGGAGCGCGTCCTGTTTGCCTTCGCCGCGGAGCTGCAGCGGCTGGAGGAGCAGGCGCGGGTGGCCTCGGCCCGGGCGTCATTCACGGTGCGGGCGGGACCGGGAAGGGACGCAGACCAAATGCCATTCTGCCTCCGCTCAGCTCCTGGTCTCCCTTGCTCCACTGAGGCTGGGCCACACAGAAGACGAAAATGGGAGGGCCTTTGTGGCCTCTGCCCTGGGATTCGTGCCCTTCCCGTGGGTGGAGGTGTCCCTCACCCCAATCCTCTGCTGCATCTCACCTGTCGACCTAGCCCAGAAGTAGTAGAATCCTGTCTGCCCACGCGAACTGAGGTCACCCAAACACAGCATGGCCTGGCTCCCGTGGCCAGCAGTTTCAGAGCCTGAAGCAGTTTCCTCCGGGAAGGTCCCCTTCACTTTCACCCAGGCGGGCAGTGACCCTTCAACTCAGTTTTGCTGTCTCTCCTGACAGCCCTTGTTGCTTTCCGGTGACCTAATCACTGTCCCAGACTGCCTCTGACACCCCTTGCTTAGATCATTGAGCCCCCAAAGTTCTTAAAAACATGGGTAGCTTAGTTCACAACCCCCTTTCAAGAAGCTGCGTATGTAGCAAAAGATGTAGACATCGAAGCCGTCTGATCCTGTGCTCACGTTTTGCCTCTTGACCCTCAGCCCCAAGGAAGCTTCCTGTCCCAACCCATGTCTCATACACCCTTTGAGCTGCAGCTCAGGCCCTCCAGATCTCAGGGCAGGGAGGCGGGGGTGGCCTGGCCAAAGCCGCTGCTGCTGCTTGATGGGGCCCCCTCTAGACACACTGCCCTCTGTCACACAGGTGAAGTCTGCCCCGAGCCCTCCAGGAGAAAGCCTGAGGAACCCAAGGCCCCGGAGTGAGGCTTCCTGCTGGGAAGTGATGGCCCTCCCAGCAGAGCCGGACCCTGGCTTTGATCCCAACACTATACTCCAGACACAGGACCGCTTGAGTCAAGACTATGAGAGTCTGCGGGCCCTGGCAGAGGTAACACTCCTTTTTCGAGAAATGCTCATCAAGCCCTTACCCTGTGCCAGCAGCTCCGGTGCAGTGGTCACAGGGAAGAAAGTCATGACTGACATGCTCCCTGCCCTCAAGGGGCTTTTCTCATGGCCGAAATGTCAGATACCTCATTAGATGCAGGTGTGATGGGACCACGTGAGAAGGTAGCCTAGCTCAGGCTGAAGGTCAGGCTTGGAGGGAAGGCACCTTGGAGGGAAGGACATTTAAGCTGAGGCTTGAATGAGAAACAGAAAGCAAGTAAAGCCAGGGGTGCTGGCCAGGACCTGTGCAAAGGCAGGAATAGGGCCCAGTGGAGGAAGCGAAGACGCGGGTGCCTGCAGCACAGAGGCTGGGGAAGACAGACTAGACTAGAGCGGCAGGTAGGGGAGGGGCAGGCAGAGAGAGCCGTGTGGATGGCACCCTAAGAGCAGGGCTGGCACTGAGAGGTTTGAGCAGGGCAAGACCAGACAGGAGCACACTGGCAGTGCCCTTTACCCTACCCTAAACCCTTGCCAGCTCCCTCCAGGTGGAGCCACAAGGCCCCTGAGAGAGGAGGCAGGGTCCAACGGTGAGGCGGGGACCCCCCTCTGGCCCTGACCCTGGGCTTTGCTGGTGGGCTGGGATGGGGAGGAACACCCCTTTCACCTGCTCTGAGATCCCTGTTGGGGGCCTTAACCCTCACCCTAGCCTTGGGCCACCCCTCCCCAGCTCCGCAGGGCCCAGTTGGAGGAGGCCATGGCCCTGTTTGGCTTCTGCAGTTCCTGTGAGGAGCTCCAGTCATGGCTGGAGGAGCAGACAGCACTGCTCCAGAGGATGCAGCCCCAGGTTGACAGCGTGGAGGTCACGCAGCTCAAATATGAGGTACGACCTGGGGGGCTTGGCAGTTTCTCCTTGCCTTGCCCCTGCCTCCCTATGGTCCATTGCTGTGACTGAATTCACCAGTTTACCTACGATCCTGCCTGGGGGTGGGGAGCAGAGAGCTGGCCTGAACTTTGAGGACCTCCTGGCCCTTAACGACTCGGATGGCTGTCCTTCTGGGGATGGGCAGTGTGGAGATCCCTGTAGCAGAGCTCCGCCATAGGCCTGAGGGGAGTGTGGGAAGAGAAAAAGCCCCCCAAGAGGCCTGGGTCCTCCTTTTCCCCAGAACTTCCTTACTGCCCTGACTGTGGGAAAGGGCCTCTGGGCTGAGGTCAGCAGCTCTGCTGAGCAACTGAAGCAGAGATATCCTGGGGATGCCACAAAAATCCAGCGGGAGCAGGAGGAACTGAGGCAGAGGTGAGAAGGAGGTGGGAGTGCAGGTGGTGGGGCAGGCGGACACAGTGCCCAGCCTGGGCCTGACTCACCTGCCTCCTGCCATGCCAGGTGGAGAGGCTGGACAAGTCTGAGTCATAGAAAGGGGGCAAGGGACAGCCAGTCTGGCAGCTTCTATTGTGTGAGGCTCTGGCCAAGGCTCTAGGATGGATGGGAAGGTGTCCCTGTGGCAGAGACAAACTTGTACCCTCTGCCTAGGTGGGGGCAGCTAGAGGTCCTGAAGCAGGAGAAGGCCATGCAGCTGGCCCGCAGTGCGGAAGTGCACAGCTTTCTGCAGGAGTGTGGCCCCACACAGATCCAGCTGCAGGATGTCCTCCTCCAGCTGGAGGCCCTGCAGCCGGGGAGCTCAGAGGACACCCACCGCACCCTGCAGCTGGCCTGGAAGAAGACCCTGATGCTGGAGAGGAGGGTCCACCTCCTCCAAAGGGTGGTTATAAAGTACGGCCAGTGCAGTGGTGGCACAGGGAAGCAGTGAGGACTGTGGGAAGGTGTGGGCAGGGCGATGGAATGAGGGGGACAGAAATGGGGATCTGGGGAAAGGACAGGTAGGAAGTGCTGTCAGAAGGGCTCTGGCAAAGGTGGGGGGACAATCATGAGAAAATGTGCCTGGGGATAAGAAGAGCCATCTGTTCTTGCTGCCCCCAGGTCAAGTGTGGGGTGGACATTCAGTGTCACCCCCACTTTCCCTGGGGGATGCAGGTGGGGGAAAAGGACATGTGCCTGGAGCACTGGGCCCAGGACAGGGCACTGACTGTGCGGCGCCCATCTCCCAGGGTTGAGGAGTCAGGCCACGCGGAGAGCCAGCCCCTGCAAGGACAGGTGGAGACACTGCAGGGGCTGCTGAAGCAGGTACAGGAACACGTGGCCCGACAGGCACAGGGCCAGGCTGAAGCTCAGACCCGGAACAGCCTCCTGCAGGAGAGCCTGCGGCTGCGTCTGTGGGCAGAGAGAATCCATGCTCAGCTGCACAGCAAGGAGGAGCCGGTGGATGTGGCCTCGGCTCAGCGGCAGCTGTGGGAGCATGGAGATCTGCTGGAGGAGATCCACCTGTGGCGGGAGAGGTCAGGACAGGAGGGCAGGGGAAGTGTGCTCTGGGCCCAGAAACAGCATGGCAGGAAGTAGTGTGATTTCCCTGGGGAGGGGCCCAGACTGGTTGGCATGTGGCATGGTGCTCGAGACAAGATTACAAGGAGGAGGATATAACTAGGGCTGGGTCAGGCAGCCTGCACACTTTAAGGAGAGACCCAGGACACCGAGCTGCCTGGGAAGCTGTCTCCAGCCCAGACCCGGCCAGCCCCTTCAGGTGGTCCTGATGCATTGCTCTCATTCAGGGCGTCTAGTCTCCTCTGCCATCCTGGGTAACACGGACCCCACTGGCCTCTGAGTGGAATGGCTCAGGACCCACCCATATGTCTGAGATAGCCATCTCCTAAGTGCAGCGGTGCCTCTCCTCTTGCAGGGATGACATTATGGGCTGGCAAGCAGGCAAAGCCACCAAGGGCCAGTCCACAGGCTGCACCCCGCCTGAGGGTGCTTGACAGGTGGACACTGAAGTGCATCTGGTCCTCAACTTGCCAGACCCTAGTACTTGGTTCAGGGCTACAGCGGCTTGAAGGAAGTAGAGCCTTGCTCTCATTCTCACAAGGGTGTTACCTGTTCCCAAGTCGTGCAAGCTGCCACCCACTGAAAGGGGCACCTTTTCGAATTGTTCAAAGGTTCCATGGGGCTTGCAGTGGCTCCGTGGTGGGGTGCTTGTATGGCTTGTGTGATTTTTTTTCTGTTGTGCTGTGCTGCCTCCACATGTTCTCTCGGCTGGACACCAGCCGTTGGCAGTCCACACTTAAGAGGACGGCCAGCTGGAGGTAGTGGGGGGCTTGGGAACCCCTGCATCCTAAGCACTCTGCTGGCCCATCACATTCAGTGTCCCATTCATGCTCCAGGATGCATGAACCCTGGAGGTGAGCGGAGAATGAGGCTGACAAGGGGGGCCTGCTGGGGTTTGACCCTCTCCCTGTCATTCTGGTCAGGCTGCAGCAGCTGGATGCTCAGAGCCAGCCCATAGCAGCGTTGGACTCCCCGGACTGCCAAGAGGTGGCCAACACTCTGAGGCTCCTAGGGCAGCAGGGCCAGGAGCTGAAGGCTATGTGGGAGCAGAGGCAGCAGTGCCTGCAGGAGGGGCTGGAGCTGCAGAGGTTTGGCCGAGAAGTGGATGGTTTCACTGCCACCTGTGCCAACCATGAGGCCTGGCTGCACCTGGACAACCTTGGGGTGTGGAGCCAGTGTGTTACTGCCTGTCACTGGAGGGAGCTCATCCCCTTGGGGTCTGGTGGGGAGGAGGCCCCTGGGACTGTGGCAGGTGAGATGGTCCTGACCCCCATCCTCCCAGGCATGACCTCAGGTCTCTGCACTTCCAGGAGGACGTGATGGGGACCCTGAGCCTGTTGCAGCAGCACCGGGAGTCTGAGCAGCTCCTGAGCAGCCTGGGCCCTCGGGCAGAGGCTCTGTGGGCACACGGCGAGAAGGTGGTCCGGAGCCAGCACCCAGCTGCATACACGTGAGCCTGGCCTCAGTCTGCAGCACCCGCAGATGCCCCTTTCTCTTCGTGCACAGACTGCTGCCCCGGGTTGGGAGAGTGGGAGGTGGGGAGAAAGTACACCTCAGGCTGGGGTGGGAGTCCTCTCCCGTGTCCCCCTCCAAATCCCCCCGCCCTCCAGGGTCAGAGAGCAGCTGCAGAGTGTCCAGGCGCAGTGGACCAGGCTGCAGACAAGGAGTGAGCAGAGGAAGAGGCAGCTGCTGGCTTCCCTCCAGCTCCAGGTAAGGGGCTGGACCCAGGGCACATGCGGCCTCCCTGAGAAGAAGGCCTGAGACTATCCAGAGCTCTGTGCAGCCCACAGAGCACTTTCCCCACGCTCTGTCAATCATCCTCTCAATGCCTTTTGTGAGGCAGGCAGCACTGCTCAGGTTTTTCCTGATGAGGAAAACTGGGGCTGTGGCCACACCACCCTCAGAAGCAGGGCTGGGCCCTGATGTCAGGCTCCCGACTAACCCCACGCTCCCCCTCCCCCCACCATGCCTCTTCCCCTAATGCTTTCGGGCATTCTTTAGGGTCTTGCACAGGTCATGGCACCAGCTGCCAGCCTTGGCTCTGTCCAATGACTGCTTATCCCCCACAGCGGAGCAGGGCTTGGGGGTCTCCGGCTCCCTGAGCTTCTTCATACTTGGAGAGGTGTAGCCATAGGGGGTCTGAAGTAGGCTGGAGTCGCAAGGACCCAACAGGTGTTCCTCCTCTCTAGGCATAGCCCTCCTGCCCCACGTGGGCAGCAGCAACCTCAGGCCCCGCCCCTCTTGCACCCCAGAACTGGCTCTGGTCCTGCTTTTCTCCATGCGGGGGTCCGTGAGATCCCTCCCCACCCCTGTGCTCTGAGTCCCGTGCTCTGAGATCACTGTCGCCCGGTTCTTGGCAGGAGTGGAAGCGGGATGTGGCAGAGCTGATGCAGTGGATGGAGGAGAAGGGGCTGCTGGCAGCACATGAGCCCTCTGGAGCCCCCCAAAACATCCTGCAGACACTCAAGCGGCACGAAGCAGCTGAGTGCGAGCTGCTGGCCACCCGAAGACACGTGGAGGCCCTGCAGCAGGTGAGGACACAGGACAGAGCGTGCAGAGCCTCCTAGTGTTCCGATTCCCAACCCTACTGCACCACCTGTTTCCATGGAAGTCTTTGAAGAAAGAATCAGCCTCAGCATGAACCTAGGACCTCCCCCACCAAGCCGTCCTGACACTGCTGGCATCCCCTTGCCTTGGCACCCAAACCAGCCCCAAAGCTGCGCCATCCATCCCTTCCTCTTCGACTCTCTGGGGCAAGTCCCAGAGCTGGCCACCTCTACAGAGCACAGTTCTCCCTGATGCCCACCAACCTCATGCTGGCTCACCCATTGCACGTGCAGGAGTCAGAGGAAAGCCCTCCTACTCGCAGCTGGGGCTACATGAACTGCTTTCATCCAGGCAGCCTGTGGAATGCGGCTGTGGCCACCCCCTCGCCTCTACTGCCACCCAGGTCCAGCCTGCTGTGGCCACTGGTGGTACCAGCAGCTCAGCCAAACTCCCTGGCCTTTGTCTCCACTCCAGGCTGGGAGAGAGCTGTTGAGTAGGAGGCCCCATGGCCAGGAGGACATACAGACCAGGCTTCAAGGCCTGAGGAGCAAGTGGGAAGCACTGAACTGCAAGATGGCTGAGCGTGGGGACAAGCTCCGGCAGGCTGGACAGGAGGAGCAGCTCCTGAGGCAGCTGCAGGTCCACTGGGGAGAGACGCAGGGCACAAGAGGGGGATGGAGGCCGGGCTGGGCTGGACAGAAAGGGGAGGGGAAGTCTGCATGCTCTGCTGACCCGGGCTCTGCAGCCTCTGGAGGCCTCTGGCCTAGGACCAGCTGAGCATGGCCTTCCCCGCAGTCAGCCAATACAGGATTTGCTCCTGTGCCCAGCATGTGGTCAGCACAGCTTGAGTTCCCAGGAAGGAAAATGTGTGAGGAAATGGGAAGATTGGGCCCTTCTGGGTGGGGATTGACAGTGGTGGGGACAGAGGTCCCTAATAGATCCCTGGTGAATGTTGTGCTACAAGTCCTACAGTCCCAGAGCCCAGGAAGACCCCCTGCTGTGCTGTCCACAGAAAGCTTAAGGCAGCTCCCTGCACCCCTCCCCAGGATGCAAAGGAGCAGCTTGAGCAACTGGAAGGAGCCCTGCAGAGCTCGGAAACTGGGCAGGACCTGCTCTCCAGCAAGAGGCTGCAGAGACGGCACCACCAGCTGGAGAGCGAGAGCCAGGCCCTGGCCAGCAAGATGACTACCCTCGCCTCCCAGGCACACAGCATGGCCACTTCCCTGGCCATCCTGGAAGACACCCAGAAGTACCTCCAGAGGTGAGCCTGTCCTCCCACCCACCTGTGTGTCACTCCCCTGGGGGGAATTTAAGGTTCTGCAAGGTGGCACCTACAGGACTGTGGTGTCCAGACCTCTCCCTTATGAGTAGAGTCATTCCTGGGATGCAAGGGTGGGAGACCCTGTTGTGCGTCCTCAGGACCCCCGCAGTGTGGTCAGGCGAGTTATCTAGGCCACAAGGTGGAGCCTGGGCGCCCTTCCTCAGCCTGCCCTTGTCAGATGGGACTCTGCTTTGTTTCCTGGTCTTGGTCTTTACGGGTCCCTGGCTGGGCCGAGGAAAGAGCCAGGAGCCTTGTCCTCACCTGGTTCCCAACCTTTCCCATGTGTTCCTCCTCCTCCCAGGCTGGAGTTTCTGCAGGGGCAGCTGGCCATCCAGGGCTTGCAGCTGCAGGCCTCTGTGGAGCTGCACCAGTTCTGCCACCTGAGCAACACAGAGCTCTCATGGGTGGCCGAGCACATGCCCCATGGCAGCCCTACCCGCTCTGCCGAGTGCTTAGATGGTGTCCAGAGCCTTCTCCGCAAGCACAAGGTAACAGCCCCCTTCTTCCTACAGGACTCCAGATGTTCTCTTCTGAGGACCTCAGAAACCCTCTGCCCCTACTCAGGCATCCTAACCTCTAAGCCCTTTGCCCTGGATATCCCATTTTCCAAATCTCTGCCCCAGCTACTTTGACCCTGGGGGTCTTGCCATGATTGGGGCCTGGAACCGCATCCACGGCTCTGCTGGGACTCCGCTTGGTGAAGAGCAGCGGCCTCTCAAGCTGCTCTGTGGCAGGTGCTCCAGGTGGAAGTGAGAGCTCACCAGGGGCAGGTGCAGCGGGTGCTGAGTTCCGGACGGAGCATGGCAGCCTCGGGGCACCCCCAAGCTCCAAGCATCGTGGAGAAGTGCCAGGAGCTGGAAGGCCGCTGGGCAGAGCTGGAGAGGGCATGTGAGGCGCGGGCCCAGTGTCTGCAGCAGGTGGTCGCTTTCCAGCAGGTAGGATGCAGAGAGGTGGGGTTGGGGGAAGAGGCAGAAGTCGGGGCTCCTTGAGGGGCCGTCAGAGTGGGACTCTCAGAGGTGGGTCAGTGGTGAGGGCTCTGCACCAGGAGCTGATGGGCCCCCTATGGGCACAGAAGCTCCTTTGTGCAGGATGCTGAAGAGCAAGGCAGGATGTCCCCAGGGCTGATGGAGGGTCCTGCCTGAGACCCTCCAGGTGAGCTGGCCCCACTCTTGGCAGTACTTTCTGGATGCATCAGAGCTGGAGGGCTGGGTAGAGGAGAAGCGGCCGCTGGTCAGCAGTCGGGACTATGGCAGAGACGAGGCAGCCACCCTTGGGCTCATTAAGAAGCACAAGGTACCATGTCCTGAGCCTCCCCCCGGTGTGGCTTGGGTGATGGCGGATCATGGGGAAGGGGCTGTCACCCTCCCTCTCCAGGGGCACAGAGCCCTGCTCCTGCTTCCTGGAGACACACACAGCCCCATCCCCACTGTCACCCAGATCCCACAGCAGCCCTCCTTCCACGGCGGCGCAGGCACTGTGGTCTACACCTTTCTCCCTTCCTCTTGAGAGTCTTGCCTCTCCCTGTGGCCTTGGGGTTTCTCCGCCTCCTCTTGCTTCCTCTCTACCCCACCCCTGGCACTTTTCTCCTCTGTCGGGGTCACCTGCCCAGCCTGCTCCACATCTCCCACAGGTGTCTCCCTCCCAGGCTTGGCCTATCATCCTTTGAGTTAACCAAATGCCCTTCCCGAAGCCGACCTCCTCCCACAATCATCCCTGGCTGAAGGGAGGGACATCTGGAAGTCCCTTCCTCACTCCTGAATTCGGACTCCTAAAACCACACATGCTCCAAAGCCTGGACCCCACAGCAGCCCTGGTTCCTGCTGTCACTGAAGTGTCCTCCTGTCTTGGCATGTTTTCCGCACAGCCCCAGTTCCTGTGTGCTTCGAGGCAGGAGCTTCAGAGAGCCCGTCCTAAAAGCCCGCGGCCTTGGCCTCGAAGAGCACCTGTGTCCTGCTATACTGGCCAGCTTGCTTAACTCTGCCTCTCTCTCACACACTGATGATGGGGTCCAGTCTATTCCCTCCTGTGCCCTCCCTTCCTTGGCCCAGATTAGCCAGCATCCACCTTTCCCTGCTAAACAATAAGCCCTCAGTGGGCACAGACCAGGTGTTCGTTTTATGGAACAATAAGTACTGGCTCCATCAGTCATGGGTAGATGGATGCCGGGTGGGCGGGTGCATGAGCTGAAGGAGATGGATGGGTCTGTGAGGGTGGGTGAATGGATGAGGATTGGTGACTGCATGGGTGTCGACCCGGCAGACTGATGGGGGGATGAGTCACCCAGGCTGAGCCTAGTGTGGGTCCTTGTGCATCACAGGTCCTACAGGAGGAACTAGCTGTTCACTGGAGCTCTGTGGAGGAGCTTGACTGGAGGGCCCAAACCCTCACTGGCCCTGAAGCCCCTGAGCAGCAGCGTGTGGTACAGGAGAGGCTCCGGGAGCAGCTGCGGGCGCTGCAGGAGTTGGCAGCCACGCGGTGAGGGCGCTGTAACCCTCAGCAGTGGGTGCAGGGGGCCCAGCCACAGCTGAGTGTTCCCACGCCATGGCCCTAAGTCAAGCGGAACCCATGACCCCAGCTGTAGAGATGCGTCGGGAGGGGGTGTATGTTGCTCACCTCTTTCCATAAAGCCTTTAGTGAGGCCCACAACACCCTGATGTCCATCTCCCGATGTCCCCACCCTCCTCTGCCCCTACACTCACCCCTCTGTGTCTACTGCTCCCTGAATCCCAAGAGGCAGGCTGGGACAGAGACCATGAGTAACCCCATTCTTCAGGTCAGCCCCTCTGGCTGGCCCAGCTGGCCCCTGGGGATGGGCCACTCACTTCCGGGGAACCATGGGCTGTCACCACAGGGGCCGGGAGCTAGAGGGCACCCTGAAACTGCACGAGTTCCTGAGGGAGGCCAAGGACCTGCAGAACTGGCTGGCCAGCCAGAAGCAGGCAGCCAAAGGCGGGGAGAGTCTGGGGGAAGACCCCGAGCACACCCTGGTGAGAAGAGGGCTGGGGCAAGGAGGGCACCCTGGGGCACAGCCTGTGGGGTGGAGAGGCTGGCCCTGGTGGGCTGAGGGAGAAGGTGGTGGCAGAGCGGTGAGCCCTGGCTAAGGTGGGGGACTCCTGAGTGGAGCGGGCAGACGTCATCGGTCCAAGCCCACATCCCCCAATTGGGCACTGAGGTGCCTCGATTCTCAGGCTACTTGCTGCCTAACCAGCCGGGGACCACCCGGTCGCCCACCCCCACTTCTCAGCACCTCTGCACCAAGTTTGCAAAGTTTCAGCGCCAAGTGGAGACAGGCGGCCAGCGGGTGGCAGCCTGCAGGCTGCTAGCGGAGAGCCTGTTGGAACGTGGGCACAGCACCGGCCCCATGGCCCGTCAGAGGCAGCAGGATCTGCAGTGAGTGCCCAGGGGGCCAGGCCAGTCCAGGTTGTGGGGGAGGGAGCTGGGCAGGCAGAACCCGGAGTGATGAAGAGAGGATGGTATGCTGGGAGGGTCACACTGGTCCCAGCTGCCACAGCACTCCACAGAGGGGCCTCGCTCCAGAGAAGCTGAGCCCACCACAGGCTCTGGTCTGCCAAGAGAGGTGAGGCTGCATGTGCAGGTCAGAGAGCCCTGACCTGGGACTCAGAGCAGGAGCTGTGGTAAGATGGTGGGGCCAGGCACCAGGGCCTTCCCCTCAGCTGCCCCAGCTCCTGTGCTCACTGGGGACAGCCCATGCTCCTCTTGTTCCTGGTAGTCCACTCAGCTGATTGGGATTCACCCCCAGCCTGTGAGCTTTGAGGCAAGGTCATGACTTGCTCATAACCTCTAGCCCAGAGCCTGCCTGGCAGAAGCCTTAGGAGCTCAGTGAGTTTGCAGAGTGAGCAAGGAACAGAGATGTGGCCTCTGCCCACAAAGCATTTGTAATCGCAATCTGGGTGGCATACTATGAACAAAGAACAAGATGTAAAGACTATCGCAGAGCACAGATACCATTCCATGCCGAGTATTACGTTAGCAAAGCACTGAATTCATGGTCAAGCTAGAAGACAGGCTCCTGGGAAGAGGGTGTGTAGGCAGGGCCACAGGCGGGAGAGCTTTGAAGAAGTGGGAGCTTTGGGCAAGTTCTGATACAACCCTGAGAGGAGGGGGCTGACCCCCATCGAGAGGGAGGAATGAGGTGGCCCAGTGGCTGACCCCGATGGTCTCCCACATGCTGCGGGCAGGGCCACCTGGTCGGAGCTGTGGGAGCTGACCCAGGCCCGAGGCCGCCTGCTCCGAGATGCTGAGACCGCCCTCAGAGTTCACAGAGATCTCTTGGAAGTCCTCACCCAGGTCCAGGTGTGAGCTGGAGGGGAGGAAGGGATTCTTTCTACAAATGCATATGCCCCAGGCTGTGTCCGTCCTCCATCCCTGAGCTCCTCGGCATTCTCCCCTCCTCAGGAGAAAGCCACGAGCCTCCCCAACAAAGTGGCACGGGACCTGCGTGGGCTGGAGGCCCAACTTAGGAGCCACCAGGGGCTGGAGCGAGAACTCATGGGCACAGAGCGGCAGGTGAGCCCAGCTGGCTGCCTCTCCCACCCAGGCCCCTGCCACCCCCTCAGGGTGGCCCACCTGTTCCGCTATATTTTCCAGTGTCCCTCAGGTCCTCCCCTGGGCCTACAGTGTACATGGCAAGATGTGGCCCAAGGGGGCTGGAGCTCCCAGGCAAGGGATACATCTATGGGATAGACAGAAGAACACAACCCTTCTCTCCGTGTTCCCTGCCCCTCCCACAGCTGCAGGAACTGCTGGAGACTGCAGGCAGGGTGCAGAAGCTGTGTCCAGGGCCTCAGACCCATGCCGTGCAGCAGAGGCAGCAAGCTGTGATGCAGGCATGGGCAGTGCTGCAGCGACGCATGAAGCAGCGCAGGGCCCAGCTGGAGCGTGCACGCCTCCTGGCCCGCTTCCGCTCAGCGGTGAGGGCTCCTGCCCCTCGGGTGGCATGTGTGCGCATGTGTGTGCTGCACTACCCATGGGCATGTACGCATGAGGCCCTGCAGCTCCAGACAGAGAACAAGTATGGACTCGGGTGGGAGAGCACAAGCACTCTGGAAGTCAGCCTGGCTGGTCAGGGGCTGAGCACATGGGCGTAGCAGTAACACCTTAGGGTTTGGGTCAGTGCCAGCAAGGTGAGTGGCAGGACAGTCATGCAGGGTCCCAGCCAGGGATGGGAGGAAGAATGGCCCAGGAAAGTTCATCACTGGAGACCCAGATGTTAGACAGAGACCTTGGGATCAGCCAGCACCTACTCAGCATCTGTAGAGAGGACGGTAATACAGAAGCTTGGAAAGCAGAACTGCGGCCCTTGTGGAGGCCCCTTCTTCCTGGGGAGATGAACCCAATACCCAGAGAATCAGACTGGGACCGTGGGTACTGGCCATGGGCTGTCCCAGGTATCCCCATGTCCTGGGTCCAGGCAGACCATGACACTGCAAAAAGGCTTGAGTTTAGGGACCCAACTGTGCTGCTTGCTGCCACTGTGAGCTTGAGCAAGGCCCTAACCCTGGGTTTGTCAAGCACTTAGAGTTTACAAGACTCTTCCATTTCCCTTCCTTCATCTATTCAATGAGATATTTGGACAAGGGCCTAAAGTCCTCCCAGCTCCAATCTTGTGTGGTGGTACACAAATCAGCCGAAGGCAGTCTGTAAGGGTTAAATCAGTAATTCAGAGAACAAGGAGAGCAGTGAGATGTCAAACACCAGAGAAGGCTTCACCAGGCAAAGGCAGCCTTGGCCCTTGATGAGCAGGTGAGCTTTCTATCCCCATCAAGCAGTCTTGATGGGGCTGATCCTGCCAGCTGCCAATCTGCTCGCTTCCTCGTGGCCTCGTCCAGGTGAGCTCTGCAGAGGCAGGAAAGCAGGAGGCGGAGCTTCTAAGCAACAGGGGCAGTGGGAGCAAAGGGTGGGTCTGGCTCACGTGGAGGGTTTGTGGCCCTGGGAGGATCAGGTTGGATGAGAACAGAGAAACCAGGTAACAAAGGGCCACCCTTGCCTCACCCGAGGCCCTGACCAGGTCTGCTCGGGTTTTATGAGTGGACTTGGGTGGGCTCCAGTTGCCTCAGCACCTGGTGTCCAGCTGCCCAGCCTAGCCCTCACCCGGCTCTCCCGGTCTGCCTCTGTGTCTGTGGGATCAGGTGCGTGACTACACTTCCTGGGCAGCCCGCATGCGGCAGGAACTGCAGGTGGAGGAGAGCTCGCCAGAGCCCAGCAGTGCCCCCCTGAAGCTCAGTGCCCACCAATGGCTCCGGGCAGAGCTGGAGGCCCGGGAGAAGCTGTGGCAGCGCGCCAGCCAGCTGGGTCAGCAGGCGCTCCTGGGTGCAGGGGCACCTGCCAAGGAGGTGGGCCCTCTCTCCTGCTGCCCCCACCTACCCTAGCTGACCTGGCCTGTACCTGGCCACCTGGTGCCCCATCCTGGTGCCATGCTGGCTTTCTCAGGGGCCTCCCTCAAAATGCAGCCCTCCCCTCACCCTCATCACCCTCCACAGCTGAGGCTCCTCATGTTTCCATCCCCAGGTCCAGGAAGGACTTCGAGCCCTGCAGGACCAGCGAGACCAGGTGTTCCAGGGCTGGGCACGGAAGCAAGAGAGGCTGCAGGCTGAGCAGCAGGAGCAGCTGTTCCTCAGAGAGTGTGGCCACCTGGAGGAGATCGTCAGGGCCCAGGAGGCAGGCCCCCCACTAACCCTCACCCTCCGCACAGCCTCCTGCTCTTCCTCTCCCTTCCTCTCTCTCTGCTCAGTTCCTTCCTTCTGCCTCTCTGGCTTTTTCTCTAATACAGGGCAACTGTGCACAACTCTCCCAGGTGGCCAGGGTGGAGCACCGAGGCCCCTGGGTCTCCACCGACACCCCCAGTCCCTACCCCAGGCTGAGCCCACAGGAAGTTGGCCGGAGGCTGGTCACGCTTCCCACACAGTGCACAGGATGAGGCATCGCCACCTCCTAACCTGGGCTCCAGTGTTCATACAGCTCTGTGCCCAAGCTCAGTGGGCACTCCCAAGGCCCTGCTATGCCCAGAGTGCCGGTGGGCCTAGCCCAGCGCGGGCTGGCTGGAAGGTGAGGTGGCCTCTTTGACTTTTCTGTGACTCCAGGTCTCCCTGAAAACCAGTCCCTTGGGGAGCTCGGTGGAAGAGGTAGAACAGTTGATTCGAAAGCACAAGATCTTCCTGAAGGTTCTGACTGCCCAGGACAAGAAGGTAATGAACTCTGGAGGCCTGGGCGTGGTCGGAGTGTGGCGGGGGAGAGAGTCCTGAAGGGAGCCTCGGCACTCGGTGTGTTCCTGGAAGCAGTGCTGAGGAGCCTGTGGGGCTGGGGCCTGGTTGGTGTTGACTGAGCAAGTTGTGTGGGTGGCTCAAGAAGAGGGCCCAGGGTGAGATGGGCCATGCTGCAGGGACACAGAGGGGTTATTCCACTCTGTTCACACCACGTGGTCCTTGGGGAGCAGCCGGGTCTGGCCTGTAGCTGGGAGGCTCAGACAGCCCTCAGCCATGCGGGGCTGAGGCAAGGGCTTCGGTGCCCCCAAAGAAAGGACTGTGATCCCTGTGGACCAGGCCCTGCCGCAGCCCAAGGTGGGAGAGCAGCAGCTGTGCCCCTGCCCTGCAGGAGGCAGCCCTGCGTGAGCGGCTGAAGGCGTTCCGGGGCCCCCGGGGGCAGGACCCGCTTCCCGCCGTGCTACAGCTCCGGGCCAGAGTGAAGGAGCTGGCGGAGAGCCGGGGACACGCCCTGTGCGCCTCACTGCTGATGGCCAGCTTCATCCAGGCCGCAACCCAGGTCAGATGGCACCCCCAGCCCCGGGCCTTCCAAGGGGACCACACTTGACAGCTTGAGTGGGCTTTAGCACCATGATGCTGTGATGCAGAAACAGGTACCGGGAGTCGATGGCCTCCCAGAGGCTGTGCTGGAGCCCAGAACAGGAGATCTAAGCTGCTTTGTGTGGAGACCCCACCAGCATCCGGAGCGCTAGCAGGGCTAAGGCAAAGAGAGGTGGGGAAGGGAGCAGAGCAGAGGAGGGTCCCAGGAGTAGGGGCCACATCTCCACAATGAGATCCGGGGCTGCTTCCTGCAGCACCTCTTCCCCAGCTGGAACCTTGAGCGCTCATTTACCAGGTGCTGCCCACCCCACCCCTAAAGCCAGCCTCCTAGGTATGGCTGGGGGCTAAGCCTGTGGCATCTGGGGCCCACTACCACCGAGCATGTGGTGTTCATGCCCCACTCCCACCCCCACCAGGCTGAGGACTGGATCCAGGTGCAGGCCCAGCGGCTGAAGGAGCCGATCTCTGCAGGGGACCTGAGAGAAAAGCTGAAGCCCCTGCTGAGACACCAGGCCTTTGAGGCTGAAGTCCGGGCCCATGAGGAGGTCTTGATCTCTGTTGCCAAGGTGACAGCCGGGCCCTCAGCTCCATGCCTGCCCCAAAGTGTGGCCGAGGGATGAGGTCTTAGGGAGGGCAGCAGGCAAGGTCCTGTGTCCCCTCTCTCACTCTAGAAGGGCGAGGATCTCCTGGCACAGAGCCACCCTCGAGCAGGAGAGGTCTCCCAGTGGCTGCAGGGGCTGCAGAAGCAGTGGGAGGACCTGAGGCAGGCGGTGGCCCTCAGAGGCCAGGAGCTGGAGGACAAGCGGAAGTTCCTGGAGTTCCTGCAGAGAGTGGACCTCGCAGAGGCCTGGATCCAGGAGAAGGTGTAGCCCCAGCTGGGCCTGGGCTGTGAGAGATGGGGGAAGGAGCCCTCCCTTGATAGGAGGGAGCCCCAGCAGTGGGTGCCAGGGGTGTGGGCCGGTGCTCACAGCGCACCCTGGGCCTTCACAGGAGGTGATGGTGAGTGCTGGTGACCTGGGCCAGGACCTTGAGCACTGCCTGCAGCTCCGAAGGCGGCTCCACGAGTTCCAAGGAGCTTCTGCTGGGGTGAGGGGGCCCTGCTGGGGTAGAGGTTGGCCATGCATCCCTCACCGTAAATCCAGCTGAGAGCAGGGAAAGGGCATGTGCTCCACACCTGCTCCTCCCATGCCATGGGGCAGGATCCCTTATCTCACCTTCGCTCCTTCCTCTTTGGAATGGGGGTAGCACCCATCTCGGAGGTAAGAGAGCACGTGTGTGTGGTGGCAGGTATGTGGATCTCTAGCTGTGATAGACCTGTGTCCCCTGCCACGCACACATGCATACTTGAAAAACTGATAGAAGTAGAATGAAGTCTGGTCCAGTCGATAGTATTATACAAACGTCCGCTTCCTGGTTGTAATGTTGAATAGGATCTACTGTAAGGGAAGCTGGGGGAAGGGCATGTGGACCTCTCTGTGTGACTTTTGCAATTTCCTGTGCATCTATATAATTATTTCAAAAATCTTCAAAAGATAGGACATATGCTGAATGTGGTGGATAATCGGCACCCGCCTTCAGTGTGACTATTTCAGCATCTCAGCGTCTCCTCCTCACCCCCACCCGCTCCCTTACACACACACACACACACACACGCACCCCAAACATCTCTTATGTGGTATAGAGGGGAAAAATATTAGCAAGTGTATTCACAACTAGGTGTTAAAGACTGAATGTGCTCATCCTGTGCCCCGGTGTATGTGTGTGTAACTTTAAAAGGCAGCAGTGCTCAAATGTAGGACATCCCGTGCTGATGGTAGGATTTCATAGATGCTGTACTGGATGCCAGAGTAGGAAAAGAGTTAGTCTTTAAAGGAGCGGGGCTTAAATCCTAGCTCTGCCACGAAGGAGCCACATTAGCCTCTGAGCTCTGCTCTGGCATCTATAAAAGGAAAGGAATGTCCTTCCCTGTCTATTTCACATGAGGCCCTTCATAGGAAAGTGCTGTGGACATTTAAACAAGCTCCACAGATGCCATAGGCAGAAGGCCGGCAGTCACACCCGGTGGTGGACCCCCGGCAGACCCCCTCCCTATGCGCCTTGAAGCCCTGCCCAGTGTCCAAGCAGCACCAGCCTCTGCTCAGGCGAGTCCTGGGGCAGGGACACCCAAACCCCAGGAAGCCAAAGCTCAGGTTCCATTCCACAGCCTTCCTTTGCTCTCTTAATCCAAGAAGCTGAATTTCCATTTTAAAAGTGTCTGTGGGCAGTCACAGTGGCTCACACCTGTAATCCCAGCACTTTGAGAGGCCTAGGTGGGCAGATCACTTGAGGTCAGGAATTCAAGACTAGCCTAGCCAACAAGGTGAAACCCCGTCTCTACTAAAAATAAAAAAATTAGGCTTGTTGGTGGGTACCTGTAGTGCCAGCTGTTCATGAGGCTGAGGCAGGAGAATCAGGGAGGTGGTGGTTGAAGTGAGCTGAGATTGCACCACTACACTCCAGCCTGGGTCACAGAGTGAGACTCCATCTCAAAGAAAAAAAAAAGTTTTGTTAGCATGTGTCCACTCTCCCCGCCTACGTGGTCCCTGACCTAGGGATTCCATTTCCTGGGCTTAGAGATGCCTCTGGGGCTCCAGGCTCTAGGCTGATCTTACTCAATTCACCTGGATGGGGTGACCTCAGGTACCTGCCACTGTAGAGGAGGCAGGAGACAGTTCCTCCCACCGCCCAAATACGCTTCTCATGCTCTGGGGCACAGACATGCTCCCGGTGCCCGCTGAGGTGGGAAGAAGGGGCTCTGTGTGGGGGATGCCAGTGTTCTCACCCGCACTTCCCCTGCAGGACACAGTGGGTGATGCCCACATCAGGAGCATCAGTGACTTGTCACTCCAGCTCAAGAGCCGGGACCCTGAGGAAGTCAAGATCATCTGCCAGCGGCGAAGCCAGCTCAACAACAGGCCAGTCCCAGGCCGGGGAGAGCCGAGGGGCTGGGAGAGGGGTGGAGAGGCCCCCTCAGGCTCCATGTGACAACACTACCCCTCGGCCAGGTGGGCAAGTTTCCATGGCAACCTGCTCCGGTACCAGCAGCAGCTCGAAGGGGCCCTGGAGATACACACACTGTCACGAGAGCTGGACAATGTCACCGAGAGGATTCGGGAGAAGGTACATGGTGTAAAGGGTCCTGGCGGGAGCTGTGAGCAAATGCAGTCGGGAGGGGTGCTGCCTAGAGTCTGCCACGCATCTTGTCCCTCAGCCACCTCTCCTGTTCAGCTGGGTACTCGGAGGTAGGTCCTACCAGGGCTGCACCAGGGCCATCTGATGGGCTGGCCCTCGGATCAACTCAGGACCATAGAAGTGCCCGTTGCAAGCTCAGTGGGGGCTTCCCTGTGTCCTTTCTCCCTGGAACCTGGTCCCCAGACACAACACAGGTCCAGAGGCCAGAAAACACCCTCTCTGCTTCCTCCCATTCCTGAGGCAGCCCAAACCTTCAGGAGGTTTGCTGTGGGACTGTGTTCGCAACCACAGATCCCCGGGCGGAATCAGGCAGAGTTAGAACCCGGTCTATGAAGCCCTCGTGTGAAATAGGTGCTGTCTGTGCTGGGTACATCTGGCTGTTTACTCTGCTGGCTCCTGCTTCAGATGACAGCCCAGGCCTGTCTGCCCATCATCCTTGCTCCATTTTCTTTCTCACCCTTCAAGGGATGAGAGTCAAATGAGATTGTACAAGGAGATGGCACACATGTGAGATTCTTACCTCAGAGGAGACTCCAAACCCAGGGTTGCGCCTCTGAATGATCCACTCAAATAAGGAAGGGACCTCTGGCCCCCAAAGCCAGGGCCCTGCTTGGGCCCCACTGAGGCAACTGGAAGGGAAATCACGCCGTGTGCTCGCTATGCACACACAAGCCATCGGCCCTGGCCGGACCCTTTGCCAGGAAGGAGGAGCTGAAGCAAAGGCCCAGCAGGTGATTGACTGTGCCCCTCCCGCAGGATGCGTTGATCCAGGCCCTGGACTGTGGGAAGGATCTGGAGAGCATGCAGAGGCTGCTGTGGAAACATGAGGAGCTGGAGCGGGAAATTCACCCCATCCAGACCCAGGTGGAGGTATGCAGCTGGGGTGGAGCTGCGCCCAGGCCACCTCCTCAGTGGGACCCTAGACAGAAGCAGGGAAGATGGGCTTTGGGATGCCAGGGTACCCCAGGGCTTCTCTGGCCCAGTCTCTGACCCCACCTTCCCCCACAGTCCCTAGAGCATGAGGTGGGCCTCCTCTGCCAGAGAAGCCCTGAGGCAGCCCATGGCCTCAGGCACAGGCAGCAGGAGATGACCAGCAGCTGGTGGCAGCTCCGGAGCAGGGCCCAGAAGCGGTATGAACCCTGCAGGTCTCGTCCTCGCTGACCCGTCCCCCAGTATTTCAGTCCCCGTGCTTCCCCTCAGCCCCTGTGCTCCCCTAGGGTTCCTTCTCCATCTTTCAAATAACTGTACTGTCCCCCCAGTAACTCCCAGCTGGTGGGCCCTCCTGTGATTGAGGGGATTAAGGGACAGAAGACACCAGTGGGCATGAGGGAGAGGGGCTTGAAACCTGGGGACTAGCTGATGAGCGCTGTGGGCAGGAGAGAGGCGCTGGATGCCTTGCACCAAGCTCAGAACCTCCAGGCAATGCTGCAGAAATTGCTAGTCGGTGCCCAAAGGCTGCGGACTCAGATGGATGTGAGCCCCACTCCTCGCAGCCCTGTGGAAGCCCGGCGAATGTTAGAAGAGCACCAGGAGCACAAGGTGAACGGGCAGCTGGCCCAGGCCTCTCCGGGGCCCTCCTCTCCGCTCGGCCCCACCCTCCCCTTCCTCTCACCCCCACTTGCTCTTGGGCCTCCTAAGTGTCCCACCTGGCCTGTATCCTCCAGCCTCCCACTCCTCACCTGCTTCCCCACCTCTCCTCCTGCCTGCTGGGCTGCTTCCAGCCTCCAGTGATCTGAGCCCAGTCCCGTTCCAGGCCGAGCTGGACTCCTGGACAGACAGCATCAGCCTGGCCCGAAGCACTGGGCAGCGGCTACTCACAGCAGGGCACCCGTCTACCCCTGACATTCGCCAGGCCCTAGCTGGCTTAGAACAGGAGCTGAGCAGCCTGGAAAGGGCCTGGCAGGAACACCAGCAGCAGCTGCAGCAGGCCCTGGAGCTACAGGCAGGCACAGTCCCATCCCCAGCCTACATCTTGCCCCCACCCGACAGGGCCTGCCCTGACCCCACAGCCCTGGCCAGGGCTAAGGCTGGAGGGGCTACTGTACTGGGACTCCCCCACCACTCAGCACCCCTGCCTGCCAGGCACCTGGTTCCCCAACCTGTGTCACTGGAAGGGTCACTCCACCTGCACTGGCCAGATCCTCTGCCGACTGTCTCTTGCCTTTTCCTTCATTCCCAGCTGTTTCTAAGCTCTGTGGAGAAGATGGAACGTTGGCTTTGCAGCAAGGAAGACGCCCCAGGCAGTGAGGTTCTGTGGGTAGGTGCCCAGCAGGAATCGGCAGAAAGGGGGGACTTACAAGAGGAGCGTTAGGAGTCAAACCAGCTGGTGCTGCCTGAGCTCCCCAGGCCAGGGATCCCTTCTGGGGCATCTCCCCTCCATGGGCCACGTCCGTCACTGGGCAGTTGCTTACCCATCATCTGGAGCAGTTCCCATGCAGCTGTGGACAGGCTCCACTGTGAACACCAAAGAGCTTCGACAGTGCTTGTGTGGGCCTGGCCCGTTCCCGCCACCTCACCCCTGCCCCCTCCCTTCCCAAATGCCTAAAGGTTCACTTTTCCCACCAGTGCCCCAACCCTGTAGCAGACAGATGTAACTTGGAGGGGGCATCAGTGGATAACTGGGGACTAACCTAGTCCTCTGGGGAGCACAGAGGAATGAGTCGCCATTTGTGAAAAAGCTCTGCCGGCCCCCGAGATTCTGGCTCTTGATCCCTATCCCAAAAGCCTCCCCTGGCTGGGGAATCACTGTCCTCAGGCTTGAAACGGCCTTGAGTGATGTGAGGAATGTGTTTGGGCTGAGCAGCCGCTCTGTGGATGAGCATTTGGTAGGACGGCTCTAGGTGGGAAGGAAGGTAGCCTGGGATGGGAGTGGGCAGCCCCATAGATAGTATTGGGTCCCTCACTCCCACCAGGACCCCTCCGCCCCCGTGGAGCCTCTTCTGTGGAAGCACAAGATGCTGGAGCAGGACTTGGAGGCACAGGCGGGAAAGATCAGCGCTCTGGAGGCCGCAGCCCACAGCCTACAGCAGGGTGGACACCCCAAGGCCCAGAGTGCCCTGGGCAGGTGCCAGGCCATGCTCCTAAGGTAGTGCTGGCTCTGGGGTGAGGGCTGCTGTGGGCGGGCTGGTGCAGGCATCTGGCATCCCAGGTCTTCCCTTCCCACCTTCCACTGCTTGGTCCAGCCTCGCCAGGCTTTTCCAAGGACTGAGGTCAGATGCCGGGGGTCCCCAGAGCTCCTGATCCTGCAGCATGTCTTCCTGTTAACGGACATCAAATGCCACGTGGAAAATCCCACTTCCTTTTACGTTCAGTTGAGATAAAGGGAGTTTACACAGAGACTTATGCTAGGGGACAAGAGGAAAATGTCTCGTGAAACAGGAGGTAGCAGGGCTCAGTGGTCAGGCATTGGCCTTCCAGGGTTGTAGTCCTGAGTTCCTGTGCTGCCCACTAATGGGGTGGGACTTGGGCAATTTCCTCCTCACGGCAACTGAGCCTCGCATCCCCGCCCTAAGTGCTGAGATGAGAATGAAGGCATGGTGCTGGCCCCACAGGCAGGCTGGCAGAAGTCTCAGGTTATCTAATGGAAGTTCAGGCACAAATACATGTGACCGCATGGCCCACGAGACCCCAGCTCTGTGTTTTCCCCTGTAAAAGTTCATTGGGTTTGGCTGCTTCATCCAGCTCCTCAGACATTTAGATCAAGGCAGATACAGTCAAAAGCCAGATCCCAGACTGGTGTGGGCTTTGGCCCTTCCCAGCACAGCTGCCAGCACCTACAAATGCCAAGGCTCCTTGTGCTGCTCTCCTGTGGCCGGGGCACCCTCTCTCCATTCTTGCAGGTGGACTGCACCTGGCTACCTGTGGAGGTCTTTGAATTAACAGAATGCAATCATTGCTTTGCTGGTCTGTCACCACCCCCTCCCCCAGTCACCGTAGGTGGTTCCTGGCAGGCCCCCCTGCCGACCCCCAGCACCTGACTCCCACCCAACTTCCAGCTTCTGACCTTCTGCAGGAGCACATTTCTGTTCAGTCCAGCCTCTCCCTACCCGCTACACCCTTTAGCAGTGAAGTTTAAACTCGTACTGGCGTGGGGAGGAGTGTGTGGACCCTCAGATGTGAGAATCCTCAGGGTGGGGTGGGGAGGAGGGATATTAGAGCTTCTATTTACTTTATAGATCTCAGTTTCTACTTTTGTGCATATGGCAATGTACTTGATATTGGTAGAGGTACATATATAGTACATAAATTATTAAATATTATATAAATGTTAGCAATTACATATTATATATATTGGGAAGCCCTGCTTTAAAAATTCTTGCTGCCAGGTGCATGGTGGCTCACGCCTGTAATCCCAGCACTTTGGGAGGCTAAGGCGGTTGGATCACCTGAGGTCAGGAGTTCAAGACCAGCCTGGCCAACCAGGTAAAATCTTGTCTCTACTAAAAATACAGAAATCAGCTGGGCATGGTGGTGGACACCTGTAGTCCTAGCTAATCAGGAGGCTGAGGCAGCAGAATCAGTTGAACCTGGGAGGCAGAGGTTGCAGTAGGCTGAGATCTTGCCATTTCACTCCAGCCCAGGTGACAGAGCAAGACTCCATCTCAAAAACAATGATTACTATTGCTAATACCAATGCATAATCAAAAAAGTGGTTTAGACACTGTGTTAGTCTGCTCAGACAGCTGTACCAAAATATCACCAACTGGGTACGGTGGATAAACCAGCAATCCCCAACCTTTTGGCACCAGGGACCTGTTTTGTGGAAGATAATTTTTCCCAGGGGATGGGAGGTGGTTTCAGGATGAAACTGTTCTCCCTCAGATCATCAGGCATTAGATTCTCATAAGGAGCCAGCAGCCTAGATCCCTTGTGCGCAGTTCACAGCAGGGTTCGAGCTCCCGTGAGAATCTGATGCCGGCGGATCCAGCAGGAGACAGCGCTCAGGCACTCATGCTCTGCCACTCACTTCTGTGCGGCCAGTTCCTAACAGGCCGAGGACTGGTGCTGGCCTGTGGCTCAGAGGCTGGGACCCCTGGAATAAACTGCTTCTCACAATCCTGGAAGCTGGAGGGCCACGGTCCAGGTGTCAGCAGTGGGTTTCCTTGGAGGCCTCCCTGTTCTGGCAGAGCTGCCTTCCCTCTGTGCCTGTGTCTGCCCCAGCAGCATCCTCTCATAAGGACACATCAGGTCACATGGGATTAGGACCCACACATAGGACCTTGTTTTCTCTTAATTGCCTCTTTCAAAGACCCTGTCTCTAAAACCGGTTCTGGGGTTAGACCCTCAACATAAGAACTTGGGGGTACAGGCCAGACGTGGTGGCTCACACCTGTAATCCCAGCACTTTGACAGGGTGAGGTAAGTGGATCATTTGAGGTGAGGAGTTCAAGACCAGCCTGACCAACATGGGGAAACCTCACCTCTACTAAAAGTACAAAATTTAGCCAGGCCTGGTGCCAGGTATGTGTAGTCCCAGCTATTTGGGATGCTGAGGCAGGAGAAGAGAATCACTTGAACCCAGGAGGTGGAGATTGCAGTGAGCCAAGGTGGCACCACTTTATTCTAGCCTGGGCAACAGAGACTTTGTCTAAAAAATAAAAAATAAATTGGGGGTACAGAATCCAGCCCATAACAGATAGACACAGATGGGGAATGCAATGTACCTTTATTCCAAAGGAAACTCCAGACTCCAAATATACCCAAGGAAACCTAGGCTGGAGGGGCACACACATGCGTATGTGTTCCGTGTACCCCAGTGGGCCCTGGGGGTGGCCCCAGGTCCACAAGCCTCTCTTTCTGACAGGAAGGAAGCGCTCTTCAGACAGGCCAGGACCCGCCGCCACCGCCTGGAGGAGCTCCAGCAGCTGCAGGCCTTCCTGCAGGACTCCCAGGAGGTTAGCCTCACCAAGAGACAGAGGTGGTCCCAGAACTTGGGTGGGGGGGGGGGGGTGGGAAGGAGGAGTCACCCCAGGGAAAGGCCACCCTTTTTCTGGAGCATCCCAGAGGTTAGGGGATGGGAGAGCCGTGGACATCAGGCCTGTCGTCCCCATGTGCCCAGGCGGCTGCATGGCTGAGGGAGAAGAACCTGGTGGCCCTGGAGGAGGGTTTGCTAGACCCAGCCACACTGCCGGCGCAGATGCGGAAGCAGCAGAATTTCCAGGCCGAGCTGGACGTGAGCATGCACCAACAGCAGGAGCTGCAGCGGGTGAGGCCCTGTGGGGAGGGTGTGGGGCAGCTCTCCAGGCAGAGCACAGGACAGTGCCCCAGAGCTGGGCTGAGCTGCAGTGACAGTGACCAGTGTTATCCAGTACTTTTTGTGTGCAGGCACCTGGCTAAGCAGTTGTGTAGGTGGAAGAGTAGTGAGAAGCAGTTCCTTCCCCAGGGAACTGTCTCCAAAAATAAACCTTTTCGGTCATTTTTTTTTTTTTTTTTGAGACAGAGTTTCACTCTGGTTACCCAGGCTGGAGTGCAATGGCGCGATCTCGGCTCACCGCAACCTCCGCCTCCTGGGTTCAGGCAATTCTCCTGCCTCAGCCTACTGAGTAGCTGGGATTACAGGCACGCACCACCGTGCCCAGCTAATTTTTGTATTTTTAGTGGAGACGGGGTTTCACCATGTTGACCAGAATGGTCTGATCTCTTGACCTCGTGATCCACCCGCCTCGGCCTCCCAAAGTGCTGGGATTACAAGCGTGAGCCACTGCGCCCAGCCCTTTTCAGTAATTTTAAAGATAACATTATCATGTGATCAGGACATAGCCAACAGTCCTGTGGGTGGAGTCAAAAACGTAGCCACTTTTTTGGAGTCAGGGTCTCGCTCTGTCACCCAGGCTAGAGTGCAGTGACACCATCTCAGCTCACTGCAACCTCCACCTCCCAGGCTCAAGTGATCTTCCCAGCTCAGCCTCCCCAGTAGCTGGGATCACCGGCCCGCGTGCTATGTCTCGCTACTTTTTTGTATTTTTGGTAGAGATAGGGTTTCACTATGTTGCCTAGGCTGGTGTCAAACTCCTGAGCTCAGGTGATCCACCTGCCTAGGCCTCCCAGAGTGCTGGGATTACAGGCGTGAGGGCCTTGCCTCACCAAGGCCTGGCATGGTACCTCTTTAAACACTGTCTTTTCCATCTGCAGGGGCAGGTCCTGACCCCAGGCTGGCTCCCTCTATGTAAATTACCCTGCTAAGTATTTTATATGGTTTATCTCATTTAAACAAAACCATTATTTTCTCTACAATATGGATGAGGAAAATGAGGTTTGGAGAGGTAAAGAAACTCGCCCACAAACATGCAGCCGGCTGGCAAGGACTCTCTAGCTGCGGTGCTGGTGGTCACAGCCCACAGTACCCTGGTGCCAGCAGTCCTGAGTCTATAAGGTGTGTTCCATGTTGTGGCTGCAGGAGGGACAGAAGTTGCTGCAGATGGGCCCCCCAGCCTCGGAGGCCATCCAGCAGCGACTGCAGGAGCTGGGAGCGCTCTGGGGTGAGCTGCAAGCCAACTTCCAGAAAAAAGCAGCTAAGCTTCAAAAGGCCTGTGAGGTGAGCTCGTGTGGGTCACCGGGTAGCTGGCCGGGCTCTGGGTCTTTCCCATCCTGCCCACCTCACTGTCTACCCCAGGCCCAGTGTCTGCGGCGGAGCATGGAGGAACTGTCAAGCTGGCTGGATCCCATTGACGTTGAGCTGAGAGCCCCCATTGGGGGCCAGGCCTTGCCTGGGGTGGGCGAGCTCCTGGGCACACAGGTGGAGCTGGAGGCAGCCATGGATAAGAAGGCCAGGCAGGCTGAGGCGCTGCTGGGCCAGGCCCAGGCCTTGGTGAGGGAAGGCCACTGGCTTGCCCAGGATGTGGAAGAGCAGGCCTGGCAGCTGCTCCAGAGGTAGATTGGCCTGTGCCCTCAGCTTCTCCTCCCTGCCTTCCTGGAGGGATCCCACCCCTGCCCCTTAAGTGATATCTTGTCACGTCTTCCCCTTGCCCATGGTGATGGGCACAGCTGGGTGATCTGTGTCACCAGGTTGCCCTAATACTGACACCTGTGGTCCCTGCCTCCCTGGGTCCCGCCCTCTACCTTCCACCCCCTCACCACCCTTCCTCCACCCTCCACCCTCCACTCTCCACCTCTGCAGGGTCAAGAGCCTGCGGGAGCCCCTACAGGAGCGCAGGACAGCCCTGGAAGCCCAGAGCCTCCTCTTGCAGTTCTTCAGGGATGCCGACGAGGAAATGGCCTGGGTGCAGGAGAAGCTGCCTCTGGCCACTTCCCAGGACTATGGCCAGAGTCTGAGTGCAGTGCGGCAGCTGCAGGAGCAGCACCAGGTGTGGGCCCACCTGGGATGGGGGCAGGGGAGGGCCTCGCCTTGATGCAACCAAGGAAATGGCACCCCCTCTGGCCTAGCCAGGAACTCTTAGGCTGTGGGGGCTTTTGGCATACCCCATATTCTTTGGGGATCATAGAGACAGGGAACTCCTGTGAGAGCAAGTTAGTGGGGTCCCACGAAGCCTCGAGCACAACTGTGGGAGTCTGCCAAGCATCAGCAGCATCCCCATCCTCTCCCTCCTACCCCACAGAACCTGGAGAGAGAGATGAGCAGCCATGAGGCTCTGACCCGGGTGGTGCTGGGCACCGGGCATAAGCTGGTACAGGCTGGGCACTTTGCTGCCCATGAGGTGGCCGCCCGCGTGCAGCAGCTGGAGAAGGCTGTGGGCCGCCTGCAGGCAGAAGCGGTACGGAGGCGGCTTCTGCTGCAGGAGGCTCAGGAGGCCCAGCAGTTTCTGACTGAGGTGAGGGGAGTGATGGGCCTGGGCAGGGAACTACAGGGCGAGTGTGGTCAGAAGGTAACTCTGGGGGCTCCGGGCCTGGGCATCCTCGTCTCCTCTGCTCAGCGCTCTCCTGCCCCCAAGGGCTTCCTTCCCCCAGCTGCTGGCTGGGCTGGCTTTTGTTTTTCTTCTGTCTAGACCAGTGGTTCTCAACCAGGGCTTTACATGGGAACCACCTGGGACTTCCCTGGACCATTACACCTCAATGACTTCAGAATGGTGAATGTAACTGTGAAGGAAGAAAAACTGAAGTAAATCGGCTAATAATTCAAAGGCAGAAACACTGCAAGGAATATTTGCTAAAACTTGGTTTTATTTTACTGACAAAAACAAAATCTATGCCTATGAATCAGGAATAAAGTGTCTATTTTGCATGGAAAAAAACAATCACCTGGACCCTTTACCAAACACTGGCTCTGGCTGCATTCCAGACCAGATGTGACAGTTGAGGGGTGGGGCCCAGGCCCAGTGAAAGCTAAAGCTCCCAGGTGATTGCCATGTGCAGCCAGGTTGAGAATCCAGCTGTAAATCCTGAGCCCTGGAGGGAGCCCAGGGAAAACAGATCTCCGCTCTGTCACCCCAGCTCCTGGAGGCAGGATCCTGGCTGGCCGAGCGGGGCCATGTCCTGGACAGTGAGGACGTGGGCCACAGTGCTGAGGCCACCCAGGCCCTACTGCGGCGACTAGAGGCCACTAGGAGAGACCTGGAAGCGTTCAGCCCACACATCGAGAGGTTGCAGCAGACAGCGGCACACCTGGAGAGCAGGAAGAACCCAGAAAGGTGGGCAGGAGCCACGCTACCAGGGAAGGAGCAGAGAGAAGCCCCCTACAGAGGCAGCAGGAGGCGGCCCCTCTGGGAGGCTAGAGAGAAAGGGCTCCAGTCCAGGCTGCGCTCTCTTCCTACAGCCCCAGGGTGCTAGCCCAGCTACAGGCGGTGCGGGAGGCCCATGCAGAGCTGCTGCGGAGGGCGGAGGGCAGGGGGCACGGCCTGCAGGAGCAGCTGCAGCTCCACCAGCTGGAGCGAGAGACCCTGCTCCTCCATGCCTGGCTGACCACCAAGGCAGCCACTGCCGAGTCCCGGGACTACGGGCAGGACCTGGAAGGCGTCACGGTGAGTGACTCCTGAGTCACTCCCAGTCTCCTTTCGGGGAGTGGGTGGAGGCTGAGGAAGGTCTGAGTCAGGGTGGAGGGGTTGCTGGGGAGCGAGCAGAAAGGAGCTTGGAGAGGGTGTCCCAGGGAGGATCCCGACGGTTCCAGAACCGGAGCTGAGGGATTTCAGAGCCATGAGAGTCTGCCGAACTCTTCATGAGCTTTGCGAGCTCATGATACCATCTCAGGTGACCCTGCCGGGCCTCCCACCTTTGCAGGTGCTGGAAGAGCAATTTGATGCTTTCAGAAAGGAAGTTCAGAGCTTGGGCCAGGCCAAGGTGCAGGCCCTGAGGAAGTTGGCAGGCACCCTGGAGCGGGGCGCACCCAGGAGTTATCCCCACATCCAAGCCCAGAGGAGCCGTATTGAGGCCGCTTGGGAGAGGCTGGACAAGGCAATACAAGCCCGCACAGAGGTAGGCGACCACAGGCGGGGCCGAACCAAGGGGTCTGAGTCTTCAGAAAAGCATGTCTGGCCGGCATCTGAGTCCCTCTGAGCCCTCCCTACCACAGGCTTTAGTTCCAACAAGACACACCCTGCTGGTGTCCTCTGGTCAGCCACACACGTTGGCCCCAGTGGATGCTCCCTCTCCCTCCCCAGCTCAGCTTTCTTCCAGGACTCAGCAGCCCAGCCTCCTGAGCCCGACAGACCCTGCAGCCCAGGACGTTCCGTCTCTACAGGACGTGGGCCGGGGCCACCTCCTGAGCTGACCCTGTCTCCCAGCCCTGTGAGGTGCTGCGGGTGGTACTGCCAGGGCCAGCCGGACCCCTGAGAACCGGCCTGCTCCCTCATGTGGACCCAACACTTCATGTCTGCCTTTCCCTGAGAGGCACTTGAGGCCCTCTCTTCTCTGGCCCTCCCGACCCCGGCCTGCCACTCAGCCCACATCATCACATTCCCCAAGGCCGCAGTGTGGCGGATGGTTTCTGTACCTGGGGGCAAAACAAGCCCCACGGTCCTTCTTGTTGAAAAGGAGGTGACCCAGGAGGCCCTGTCTCCAGGGAGAAAGGAGTCTTGGGAGCAGAGCACAGCCCTGAGCAGGTCCTTTCTCCTCTACCAGAACTTGGCTGCAGCCCATGAGGTCTACACCTTTGAGCAGGCAGTGGCCGAGCTGCAAGGAAGGATGAGGGAGAAGACAGCCCTGATGAAGGGGGAGGATGGAGGTCACAGCCAGTCATCTGTGCAGACCCTGCAGCAGCAGCAGAGGCGTCTGGAGGTGAGGGCTCGTGCCCTGCAGCCTGCCTGTCTGACCCCTGCCCGAAGCCAGTGGCTCAGGGCACCTATCTCAGCCTCCCCAGGTGTTAGGTGAGGGCCCTCTCACCGCAGCCGTGTCGGCCTCCTCTCCAGACACCGAGATCCCTTCCCCAAGGGGCCCTGGGACTTGGCCCAGGTTGTGTAGCAGAGTGGAGGTGGCTCTTCAGGCCTGGGTGCTCCTGAATGGGGAGCGTCATTGGCTCAGTGGGGAGACTGACGCCTGATCTTGTGCTCTGGTTGCAGAGAGAGCTGGCAGCTATGGAGAAGGAGGTGGCACGGGTGCACATGGAAGCCGGCCGACTGGGCCAGCTGCATCCTGCGGCTCAGGGGGGGCCTGGCCGAGCGGCTGGCCAAGGTGCAGGAGGCCTGGGCCACCCTGCAGCTGAAGGCCCAGGAGAGAGGCCGGTGGCTGGCACAGGCTGCAGAGGGCCATGTCTTCCTCGGGCGCTGCCGGGAACTGCTGTAGGTGTCCTTCCTTGGCTGCTGGCTCACCTCTGCCCTGCGAGGTGGGGGTATCCTGGTTCTTCGGAGAGCTGGACCCTCCCTCCTTTGCTTTTGCCCTGCCCTTTCTCCTCAGCCAGCCCTGACAACAGCTCCCTTCCCTGCCCCACAGAGCACGGGCACAGGAGAGGCAGGAGCTGGCATCCTCCGAGGAGCTGGCTGAGGATGTGGCGGGGGCTGAACAGCTCCTTGAGCAGCATGAGGAGCTGGGGCAAGAAATCAAGGAGTGCTGCCTTCAAGCCCAGGACCTGTGGCAGGAAGGACAGCAGCTGGTAGATGACAGCCACTTCATGTCCCTGGAGGTGTGAACACAGAGGGTGGGCCTGGGGTTGGGCCGGGCATGCAGCCTGATTGCCCAAGGCCTTAGGGCCCCTCACAGGTGTGGAAAGCAGCAGGACAGGAGGGCTGGGCATGGGCAGGAGTAGGTCTCACGGCCTTCCCTCTGCACTTCCACTAATCCTTGGCTCTCCAGCCCATCCCAAAGCAGGAGCTCTCCCCAAGCTCTCACCCACAGCAGCCTTTCCCCGCCAGGTGACAGAGTGTCTACAGGAGCTGGAAGGTCGGCTGCAGGAGCTACAGGAGGCCTGGGCCCTGCGCCAGCAATGCTGTGCCAAGAGCTGGGGCCTACAGAAGCTTAGGCAGGAGCTGGAGCAGGCTGAGGCCTGGCTGGCCTCCCGGGAAGGCCTCCTGCTGGAGCCCGACTATGGGGTGAGTGGGGGTCCTGCCCCTTAGCTGGCCACCAGGCTCAGGACCCCCAGAGCTGGGCCTCACCCGAACGTGCTTCTCCCAGCACTCAGTGTCAGATGTGGAGCTGCTGCTGCACAGACACCAGGACTTAGAAAAGCTGCTGGCAGCCCAAGAAGAGAAGTTTGCCCAAATGCAGAGGAAGACAGAGGTGAGGAGTGCCCGGCCAGGAGCTGAGGACTGGGGGGGGAATGGTCCCTCTCAATCTGTGAGTCAGGGGCTCCCAGGCCCCTGAGTCCTCACCTGGACCTGCCTCGCCCAATCCTTTTCCAGGCCAGCTGCAGTGGTGGGAGTGGCATCACGGTAGACTGGGTGCGAAGGGAGCCTCCAGAGTCGAGGCTGAAAGAGCTAACTCGAGGGAGAGGCAGGCCTCTGAGTCGGAGGGATGGGGAGGGAGAGATGGACATGAGCCCGAGGCATGGCCCATCTCTCTGACCTGGCTCACCTTGCCCCGTTCCCCAAGATGGAACAGGAGCTGCTGCTGCCACTGCAGGAGCTGAAACCCAGGAGAGCTGGCAGCTTACTGACATCCTTTCAGTGGAGGATCTCTGGACACCAGGGGCCAGGAGCACAGCTGGCTGAGACAGAGGGTCCACAGGTAGGTGTCCCTGTGGGGCTGCAGGCTCCCCCACCATAGTCTCCTTGGAGCTTAAAGTGGGGCTGGGGCCATCGGGGTGAGGGCCTATACCCTGGAGCCAGTGCTGGGAGTCAAGGGCACAGGAGCTGAAGGTCATTAGGAATAAAGAGGGCTGTCTTCAGCCCAACCACCCTGAACGAGATCAGCACCCAATCTGGTCTCATTTCAGAAGCTAAGGGTTGGGCCTGGCTAGTACTTGGATGGGAAGAATAGAGAGGGCAGGGGGCAGTGGGTGTTTTGCCTGCCTTCCTGAGGGTGCCAGTCCTGACATTTCAGGGCCCCCATCTTTTTCAGAATGCAGAGGGTACTCCCACCATGGAGGGGTCTTTGGAGTTCAAGCAGCAGTTGCTGCCTGGCGGGAAGCAGGTAAGTGTCGAGAGATTCCTTCTTTAGGCAGCATCCCGCTTGCAGAACACGGAGGGACTGGGAGGAGCCATCTGGGCCTGGTGCTCTCACACTGTGGACCTGGGCAGATGCTGCCCCCAACCATGTTCTCAGGGCAGTTTGGCTCCTTGGGGCCCTTCCCCGCTTCTGCCCCCCACCCCGGAGGTGCAGAGATGCTGGGATTTCTCCTACCCAGAGGCTCTTCCCTTTCTGCTGTTTGCCCTGTCAGAGCCCCTCCATGGCTTCCCCTTCCCCTCGGGGACTTTGGTCCAATCCAGTGCTTTTCCGGGGAGGCTCCACACACACGGTGAGACGTGGACAGGCCCTAGCTCTGGCTTCTCTTCTGCGCGTGGCTCATGCGGTCTTTCTGCCTCCTCTCCGTAGCCCAGCTCCAGCTCCTGGGACAGCTGCCGTGGGGCCTTGCACAGCAGCTCCCTGAGCCTGTTCCTGGATGAGAGGATGGCAGCGGAGGTACCAGGTGGCATGTGGGGTAGGGGAGATGCAGACATCAGGATGCTGGGCGACAAGGCAGAGGGAACACAGGATGGAAGGGGCCCCATGGGGAAAAGCTGAGGAGGCTGCAGTGACCCTGTCTCTCATCTCTCCTTAGAAAGTAGCTTCCATGGTCCTCCTTGACCTCACAGGAGCCCAGTGTGAGAGGCTGTGGGGCCACCATGGCAGGAAACACACTTTCTCCTTAAGGTGAGGGGAGAGACTGGACTCGGGCATGGTCCCCAGCAGCCACCTGGTGCAACACGGGCTGGAGGTGTGGGGGTCCCCAAAGGGACAGTGGAGAGTTTGACCTGTGGCTGTGTGGGTGCCAGGCTGACCAGTGGGGCAGAGATCCTGTTTGCGGCACCGTCGGAAGAGCAGGCTGAGAGCTGGTGGCGAGCCCTGGCCAGTGCTGCAGGTGGGTTTCCGGGGAAGGATGCGGGGAGGGCGGCCGACTCCCTGAGCCCCTGGTGGTTTATGCATCCTTGGGAGGTTCCACAGCTAGCATCTCTATCCCCTCAGAAGTAAGTGGGATTTACTGTCTTTTCTCAGAGAACTTCAGTCCCAGAGAGGTTAAGTGACTTGCCAAAGATCACACAGCTAATTAGCAGCAATCATGGGGCTAATTTTGACCCCCAGCTATGTCCTGGTCCTGTTTTGCCCCTTTTGGAGTCTGCTGCTCTGAGGCTGCCTCAAGCCCTCCCTGCCAGGATCCTCATGGACACTGTGTTCCTCCAGGCTCTGTCCTGTCTGCTCTGGGGGCTTCTGTAGCCTTCTAGTCCTCAGGCAGCTTGGACTGGCCCCACCCTTGAGTTGTTTTGCAGACAGTGAACAAGCCAGGTTCCACTTGGAGAAATATACATGGACAGTCCCTTATGCCCCTTTATTTTGTGGTTAGCATTCTCTGCCGAGGCTGTGTGTGGACACAGTGTGTTCAGGGAATGTGTTTGGGATCTTGAGTTGTTCCGTTTCAGAATCCCCCACCTCCTAAAAAAGGCTTAATCTTTCTTAGCTCGCCTGCATGGAGTTTTCTCAGAGGCAGGAAGCATGGGGGGAAAGTCTGCCCATGAGTGCTCAGCCCACCCTGCATCCCCACGTGGGAAAGGCCTGGCATTGCCAGGCTGCCCAAGGCCATGCTGAAGCCCCAGAAGCTGGAGAAGGGAGTGGCTAGACTGGGTGGCTGCAGATGGCCTGGGTCGGGGCCAGGCTAACAGTGGTTATTCCCTTGCTCTACAGCCCAGAGTCCGAGCCTGGAACTCAAAGCCAAACCTGTCAGCTCTTTGAATGAGTGTGCGGCCGAGAGGATGCCCAGCCTGGATGTCTAGGCAGGTGGGACACCTAGGGCAGGGAGCAGGGTGGGGAGCCCTGGGCTTCAGTGGCTGGCAGGCGCTGCCATCTGCAGCCTGAGGTTCCACAACTCAAACTTATTCTCTTGGGCTGTGGGGAAATGCTATGGGAGACCCTCAGCTGCCTCTGCCCACTCTCAGCTGTGAGAGAAGAATCCAGGCCACAAGGCCCAGATTTCCCTACAGCCTTGACAACTGTCCCCTGCCATAGCTCATTCCACACCCTCCACAGTGCAGAGACCCTGTAGCCAGCTGTCTGGGCATGCCCTTCCTGCTTGGCCACTTGCATGAGAGGCAGCTTGGCTTCCCTCACCTGGTGCTGACTGCCTGCCTGGGTTTGATTCCTAGTGGCCCACAGGCTCACTTCCCTGATTCCTTCCTCTCCAAGGCACAGAACATCGGCAGGACAGCCAGACCCTGCCCCACCCTTGCCGTAACCCGTTTTCTACTGATCCTCCCCTACCTTCCACCATCCCCAGTGCACCGCAATGGAGAGGGCCCGGGGTGAGCATGTCCCACTGCTGGCGGTGGAGGAGGCTGTTATCTGGTTCCTCAGTCCCTCGAAGATCCCAGCACCATTTCGATGCTCAACCCCCATCTCCTTCTCACCTCCAAACCAGAAAGGGCTTCAGTCCCACGCCAGGCTGATATCATGTGCATGTGTACACACAGCCATGTGCCTGGAGGTGTGGCAGCCACGGCTGTGGTCTCATGTACCCTCCTCCAGTCCTGCAGGGCCCACGATTCAGATGTGTTGCAAACAGGCCAGGCCTTGTCCTGGACTCCGCAGCCCATGAGGCTACCCAGCCAGCTATTTCTTCTGCTGTCTAGTGCAGGGCAGAACTGGAGCCCTGAGAGATGTGGAGTCGGGTTGTGAGTAGAGGCAATTCCCCCCCACTCACCCCACATCATTGCTGCAGGGCCTGTCAGCTCTGGAATCCATTCCCACACTTTAGGAGGCTGGCTGGTCCAGGAGAGGGCAGGGACACTGGTATTTGGAGATTTTGGGGTGGCCAGGCCCTACTACATTCATTCCATCTGTTTTCCCAACAGGTTTGATCCCTGAGGGGAACCCCAGTGCAACATCAAACCTCACGGCCAAAAGCGAGGACACGTCTAGGGAACCAGAATGAGACTCGGCTACAGGCACAAGGGCTCCTTCCCCTAGCTGCTTCAACCCAGGCCCCCAGGACAAGCTTCTGGAGTAGACAGGTCCTTGCTGCAAGATGAGTCCCACCATGTGGCAGGAAACAGCCACTGCCTGGCTTTGCCCTGCTGTCCCTGGCTGGGTAAAGGAGGAGACATCTTATGGCAGAGCCGCTGGGGAAGGCCAGGGCTACCACAGCAGAGACCCCAGGCCCAAGTGGCCTCCTCCTTGCTTGGCAGGGTGACCTGTGCAGAGAACTTGTTCTTCGGAAGAAGCCCATGCTGATGAGCAAGCTCTGTAAGGTGCCTGGGGAGATGTTTGTTCTGATACACAGCCCTTGCTATGGACAACCAAGAGCCTAGAATGACACAGCCCTTCTCAGCAGTAATAACAGATGATCTCAGAAAGCCCCTCACATTTGTTTGCGTCTGTAATGTATAATGTGCTCCATCCCACTTTGTACAACTACTCAAGGTAGCGAGGAAGGGAAAACAGACACGGGTCATGGGCTTTGGGTGATTGATTACACCCGAACAACTGACTCATAGATGCTCAAAGAACTGAATACAGTCAGCTCTGCTCTGGGAGTCCAAGCCCCGCTGCACCTGTGGCTTTAGGGAGCTGGAGCCCCATTCTTAAGCACTGGTGCACTGGGCAAGGATGGTCCCCACCTGCAACTCAGCGGACGGGGAATAAATGAGCCCGAAAGTTGGCGGGGTTGTGGGAGGGGGACCAGGGCCCCAGCCATCACTGGGGCCTGCGCTGCTGTCTCCGCTGCACTGCCTGGCGCAGGGCCTCCAGCAGCTGCTCCTGGTTGTTGCAGACATTGTAATGTGTCAGGCGCAGCAGTTTATCCACATCCTGCTGGCTGTAGGTCACCTTCGTGTAGTGGTAGGGAGAATCTGATGAAGACAGGTTCACCTCTCCCGAAGCTGCCTCCTCCGGTGTCCGCCGGACCCCTGTGGAGAAAGTGGAGCCTGGCAGGGAAACATGCTGTCAGGGAAGGTGGGGCAGCAGATGGGGGAGGTGAACAGAGGCTCACCAGGGGCCGAGTACTCCCGGAAGGAGTCGCTGACCAAAGGAAAGTGCAGCACGGCAGGGGCTCTAGGGTTGGTGGGGTCGGAGAAGGCGTGGCACTCCCGAGGCCGCAGCTGCTCTTCTGGGCTGGGAGAGATGGGCGGAAACGGGATCCCCTGCTTCTGGCAGAACTGGTCCAGAAGCTGCAGCTGCTGCAGGGCAGGCAGAAGGGGCATCAGCGGAACAGGGCCCCTGGTGTCCTTGAAGCTGGGACAGACAACATGAGATGCACAGGACCTGGGGCTCAAATGCCACGTCCGACTCTCCAGTGGGGCCTACAACACCAGGCTTTGGATAAAATGCTTCACACCTGACAGGCTTCAGTGGCAGTTGCTCTAGGGCAAGACTGAGCTGGGCTGCCCCCAGCACTACGATTATGACACTGGGAGACAAAGCAGACTCACAGGTAGACCCAGAGGCCTAGGACTGCACCTTGCAGGTCAGTGAGGGGGACCCAGATACAAGATAGCAGGAAAACCTCACCAGCTTCCAGAACAGAATGAGCTCCTCTAGTGGCAAATTAACAGATTCCAGTGTCCCAGTCAATCACATGCAGTTACTGTCACAGCTCCTAAAGGAAGCTGGACCAGACACTAGACTCCAAAGCACCACTCTCCATGGGGAAGGAGCCCAGAGGATGGGGGGTCTGGGGCCATCCACAACCGCCCTACCTGGAAAGCTCCGTGCAGGTTATAGTCCAATGACAGGATGAGGTCCACATCGCGAGTGGGCTGCAGGAGGGGTGGGCAGCTGGTGTTGATGAGGTAGCCAACATCCAGCAGGCAAAGGTGGGGCTCCGCAGGTGTCAGCTGGTTGGGGAGCCCATCCAGAGTGGTGGCTGGAAGGTTGGGGAGAGCAGCAATTGTCACAAATACCAAGGGCACCAGACTCTTGCTGGCACAAGATACTCTGCTCTCCTGCTGAACCAACACCCCCGCAGCCTTGCAGGTAGGCCCTGGGTCCCCAAGACAAGGAGAAAAAGCCCCTGTTCCAAGCAGGGAATTGAGCTCAAAGGGCAAAGATAGGCATGGACTCTAAGTGGTGTCTGGACTGAGGACTCGAGGCTCAGATGGCCACAGGAAGACTTTGGAGAGAAGCAGGTACCTTTCCAGGTGGAGAAGTGAGGATGCTGAAAGTAGTCTCGGTGGAAACAGAGGCCACGCAGGAAATTATGTGTGGCCTGGGCCAGTGGGCGCCGCGTCAGGAGGTCAGTGAAAAACTCAGCTATCCTGCTGGTTGTTGAGGGTGGTTCTTCTACCTTCAGAAGGGGGACCTGCTCCTTGTCTACACAGGCAAGGGAGTGGTGACCCTGGAGGGGGAGGAGGGGAGAGACCCCCCGCCCCCGATGCAGCCCCTGCTGGCTGCCCCTGAGCACCTACCCAGGCTGGCCTGGTTCCTGGCCCAACGGTCCCAGAACTGGCTGGGCTCTGAGGCCCAGTATAAGCTGTCCTGGAGGTTGGCTGCATACAGGTTGCTCCAGATACCTGAAGGAGAAGCTGTGAGGGAAGAGAGCCCCGCACTCCTGTCCCAACCCCACCCTTCCCCACGGCCAGGCCTGGCCCAGAAAACTGACTGGAGGCCATCCTCTCACCCAGGGCTCATTTGCCCTGCACCGCCCAGCTTCTCCAGCCTGCCCAGTACCCCTCACCTTCTAAGAAGCAGATGCGGGACTCAGGGAGCCTCTTCATCAGCCGCCCCATGAAGAACTCAGAGCCAAAGAGCTCAGAGGGGATGAAGGCCCCGTACTTGGGGAGGCCAACCTCATAGGGGGTGAACTCGCACCATTCTGTGAGGAGAGGCCACCCCTCAGCCACATGGTCCAGAGCGCTCAGGCACCCGCACCCCAACCCAGGGCTTTGCCGAGGACCAGGAGGCCCGGGCCTTGTGGCTTGGCCTTTGAGCATAGAACCTACGGCCCTTGCCTCCTTCCAAAGGCCTGAGGGACCCTGATAGGGTACCAGTCTCCAGATAGCATGGGACCTGGCCTAAGAGAGGTGGGTGTGACATCCACTTCTGCACATAGGCCCCGTCTCCCCTTGTTCCACCAACCACGAGGGCACAGGACTCAGCTCTTGGGCCACTTACCCCCAAATTCAAAAGTGGTCAGGCTCTGCCCCTTGGTGTTGAGGGCACAGTAGATAGGCAGAGGGTTCTGGCCGTGACTCAAGGCCTCTCGCTGATCTGAAAGCTTGTGATCATGGGGCTGGGGAAAGATGAATGGAACCTCAACCACTGGGTGCCTGGGGCCCTTCCCATGCTGCTGTCCAGCGCCATGCCCTGGCTCTGCCCCCAAACCACAGACCCGCACCTCATCGTGCAGCAGCGCCTCATTGATGAGGGCCCACAGGTTGGTGAAGCAGCTCGGGTAGCCCAGGCAGGCACGCTCCACCAGCTCCTGCCGGTACCGCTGCAGCTGGCTAGGGGCCAGCACGCCCAGCTTGCTCTTGGTCACCTGCGTCTTCAGCAACTCAGTGGGCCCTACCAGGTCCTTCTGAGACCACTCTGGGTCCTCATAGAGGTTGGCCAAGGCCCTGGGAAAAGCCACAGCCAGGGACCTGTCACTAAAGGACCCCATCTAGACCTCATGTGCCCCAGGCTTCCTATGACAACAGCCTAGCAGGGACCCTCCCAGGGTCCCCTCAAGCACATTTCTCCCTGGCACATTCATTCTCCCAGCCCTTCTAGTTTACTCACAGGCCTAGAAGCACCCTGTCCCCAGCACCCACTGCCACACAGGCTCCAGGATCCTCCTGCCCCCAGCTCACCAGGTGGAGCCTGAGGCTCCTGTGATGTAGGAGACGCAATCCAAGAGGCCCAGCTCCTTCAGGGCAGCCAGCTGCCCATACAGAGAAGTCATTGCCCGGATCCCACCACCAGTGGCCATAACAGCTACCACTGGGATCTGGAAGAGAAGACAGACAGGCTTGGAGAGGCCCTAGGGATGGGGAAGGCCAAGCCACAGGAAGAGGAGGTAGCAGGTCATGTGGCCCCCATCTTGTCCCACGGCTAAGACCTGATCATGTCTTGGGACCAGTTCTGGGTCAACCATCCTGACAATGGGATCAGAAACAGCCTCGTGAGCATCCAGTTCTAAGGGCTCCAGAAATAATGGCCCAGGCAAGTTCTGAGCCTCATCTCTTCACCCTGAGTCTGATGCTCACTTGCTGGAAGTCCCAGGGGCCACCTCAAAATTCTTCCAAATTGCCATCACTCCCCCAAGAGAGGGCCCAGGCTAATATGAACCTCCTGAACCACCCTGGGCCAGCAAGCCTCATACCTGTTAC